TTTGCGTGGAATGTCATTAGTGGAAGTGTTTAATGTGCAAATTAAAACTGGGGCACAAGCTGCCATGGAACTGCAGGAATGGGAACCATACCCGCACCCCCTGACATACCCACACCCCAAGGCCTTATATGCATTTTTGTGTGGTGATGTGAAAGAGAAGGAGGAAGAAAAAGTCTGAGGATGGCGAGGAATGGCTGGGGTGTCTAGAACCTCCAGGGAGCCAGCTCCCACACTGGCCCAAATAGGTATCACTGTTCCCGTAAATCCACCCGGGCATGGAGACCCCACCTCGCCAGGGCCCAAAGCAGCACCATTGCAGAGCCCCACAGAGTCCGAGGTCACCAACCCAGCCCCACCCCAGCAGAGTATCTACTCCCATCCCCGCATTTAATCAACTTCCAGACTACGTGATACATAGATACCCAGGTAAAGTTGGGTCCTCCCTCGCCTGGACATCCCTCTCCCCTGTAATGGAACAGAAGTGTAAGCAAGTTTTCTAAATGAGGCCCCAGCTGAGTATTTTTCTATATATATACTGCAGTAATCATCCTTTTTTTTTCCTAAATGTTTTTTTAAATAGTTTCTGGACTCATGTAGAAGCAGCTAACTTTAGTTGAGCTTTAGTGAAGCTGATCAATTTAATTGCTTGTGAAGGTTCTCAGTCATCCAGGTCATGGTAATCCAAAGGGTTCAAATGAAGGCAACTGGACTTCTTTGGTTTCTTGAAGACGTTTTGCTTCTCATCCGAGGACCTTTGTCACTTCTAACTGGAATATGGGAGAGTCAAGCCTATGAGCTGTAACTGTCTATTGTTATTTAACGAGCCAAAACTACTGTGGGTACCTCGCCTCTCCATCCCCTGATGGGTCGTTAGCCAAGTACATTTTTTTTGGCTGAGCTTAAGTACGGTTTTAGTAAGAATTCTACGCAATGTTTCATAAATGAGACCCCAGAACCAGGATCTAGTAATTAACCCTGAAGTTGACTGGCAGCCAGTGAAGCTGGAGGAGAAGCGGGGTGATGTGGGTGTGTTTGGAGGACTTGGTCAGAAGCCGAGCACAGGCTTCCGAACCACCTGTAGACGGTTCAGGGAGGTTCTGCTCAGACACGTGAAAAGAGAGTTACAGTAGTCTAAGCGTGAGGAGATGAAGGTGTGGAGGACAGTTTCAAGTTCAGAGTGTGACAGAATTGGACTCAGCTTAGCACTGTTCCTGAGATGCGCTCATTGACCTGGCACCTCCCTACCTCTCTGCCCTTCTCACTCCATATGTGCCCACTCGCACGTTGAGGTCGGCTGACCTTTTGCTGCTGCACACGCCGCGGATGAGACTCAAATCGCGCGGGGGGATCGAGCATTTGTGCATGCTGCCCCAAAGCTTTGGAACTCATTGCCCATTGGCGTTCGGCAGGCTCCATCTCTGGCGGTTTTTAAATCTCGTTTAAAGACCCACTTTTACACTTTGGCTTTTAGACAGTGACTCGTTTTAGTGTTTTATTGTGTCATTGTTTTAATGTGTTCTTAGTATTCGTCATGGTTTATCTGCCTTTGATTGAGATTTTTATCCTTTGTTTTAGCTCCTTGTAATGGTTGTGTTTTGTTTTAGCCTGTGCAGCACTTTGGGCAGCTCCCATGCTGCATTTTAAACGTGCTATATAAATAAACTATGCTATGCTAGATGGAAGAAGGAAGAGCAAACAAGAGAACTGACATGAGAATCCAGGGTGATATATATATATATATATATATATATATATGTGTGTGTGTGTGTGTGTGTGTGTGTGTGTGTGTATATAGATATATATGTATATATATATATATATATATATATATATATATATATATACACATATATATATGTGTATATATGTATATTTAATCATATAACTAGTTATTGTAGTGGAATTTACAATAATTTCGTTTTAGATTAAAACCTTCTGCTCGCTCAACTCAACCAGCCAATCACAGACTCTCTCTCCCTCTTTCATCCAATCAAATCCAATCGCTCAACAGCTTATTTGAGCTTCTTAGCAACCAGTCACCATCCACTGGCTGCAAAAGTGATTCTTTGTTACTTTATTACTTTGTTACTATTTGAGACACTTTGCTAATTCATAAAACAGGACTGTACTTGCTAAATAGTTTTATTTACTGTTACTTTGTATTTTAATTGTTAATTCAAGGACACCTCCTTTTTTCCGTATCGTAGCAATGTTTTTTTATGTATTAGAACCGTCTCATCTGGCAGAAAAAAGGTTTGACAAACATTAATTTGTTCTTTATTACCAGATTTCAGTAGGATTTGGAACTAAGCTAGTTGTAATTAAACTAATTAAATAAATGACCAAACCATTTCCCCCTGTTAAGTGCATTAGACTGAAATGAATAGCTTTATTCAGAAATATAACAGTGTTTCCCCCAGAAAATTTTCCGGCCGTGGTGCGCAGGGGTGAGGGGAGGGTGTAACCATTTCGGTGCCATGCGTTGGTCGTGAGCGGGGGGAGCTCGGGACCGTTTCACTGCCGCGTTCCATCTGTGAAAGCAGGGGGGTGGAGGAGGCGGAGAATGCGTGCGCGCAGGGGCGTAGAATGCTTTTGTAAAGTGTGGGAGATAAAAAAAATGTGCACATTTTATATTTAAAAGCATCAGTCTGGTGCATTTTGAGAAAAAAAGTAGAGTTACAGGCTGGTGAGAATGTATGATTAAGTATCTATACATGTTCATGGTATTATAATATTATATTTGATTATATATCTCGTCCTTTCTTTAATCCATCTTGAACACTGACTACAGCGACATTCTCATCCATGCTGCTCAATACCAGAACTGTACTGATGTCACTAGTTACTAAAATAACCATCAGCTGGCAGAGCTGCTGGTGAACGTGTGAGCGTACAGAACTTGTTAAACTACGTGACTCAAGTTAAGGAGCAAAGTAGAATCCAGCTGCTGTTATTTATTTGTTGTTGTTGTTTATAGAAACTAAATCTATCTTCAGGGCTTTAGGCCCAGGGCAGAGTTTTAGACCTCAAACCGCCTAGATCCAAACTTGTTATTAATAATATTGTGTTTTATTTACCCCAACCAGAATAGTCAGTAATGTTCACAGATATCCAAACCTTAGAAATGAAATAAAATCAAAATTACATTTTTTTAAATGATTAACATTGTTTCGTCATTAAAAGATCAGTTATCATTGAACACTTTTTTATATGTGACATCATCCAGCTGAAGCAGACATCTGCTTATTTCTAACAGAGCTGAGCTGTGGAAGAACATATTCAGGATTATTTAATCTTATTTTACATCACCTGTGGGTTTTGCGCATTCACTTAATATTAATTATAAAGTTATAAATAACAGGTCACTCTGGGCTAGAACGTGTTTCTAGTAACATAAGCTTGTTGGGTTAGGGTTGGCAGCAGCTCACCTGTTTCCGACTGGAGAAATCCTCTCATCAGCAGCAGGTGATCTACAGAGTAACCCGGCCCAAAAAAAACTAGAAACACCAAACTCAAATGGGGCCACCGGGAATTTCCCCAGCTGGGTCCTGGTTCTGCCCTCCGTTGAATAAATAAACACACAACTTAGATCTGTGGCTTATATAAAACTAAACCCAGAGTGCAACGCGGGAGCGAGCTTGTAATGAACGTGCGCTTTTACCGCTTGGGCGGTGCGGAGCGGTGAGGAAACGCATTTCAACAGCGGAACCCACCGGAGGGAATATTGGACAGTTTCTATGAACGTTTGATAAATGAGGAGCCTGGTGGACGATACAAAACAACAAATAAGAGTGGTTTTACAGTTTTGCAGTCTGGATTAGGAAAACTAAGAATAAGATGTTCAAAAGAACTGTAACTGTTAATTGGTAAGTGATTGATTAATAGGTCTGAATGAAAAATGATTGCTACTCCTCCTCCTCGCCCTGTACTTCGAGCAATATGATGATTTAAATAATTAAAAGGAGTCGACTCATTTAAACTAACATAGTCCTCTTGCTGCAGCCAGGATTCTGTGAGAGAAAGCAAAAGAAATCTGATTATCACAAATCAACTCATTAACTAACAAAGTCTTAGAAAAAATGGATCTAATGTTCAACAACCCACATTTAATTTTTCTAATTTGAATGTGTTCTAATATTTATGAGATTTCCATGATAAGCTTTATTAAGCCTGATATTTAATCTGTGTGATTTTGGCCGTGGGCAGGACACTGTCTCTATGGGGTAGTGGGTGGGTAGCAGTACTGAAGCTGCAGAGGGGTGGGTTAAACTACGACTCTGCTTCCTGGTCTGGACCCTGGGTTGTCATGGAGGACTAATAAAACTGGCCATGTTCCTAGAAAGAAGAGCTGCTCCATCCAAAGAGGGATGGATGCCGTCTCTCCGCATCAGACCAGGTTTTCCCCAAAACGTTTTACAATTATCAATGTAGCCCACGTTGTTTTCAGGACACCACCTAGACAGCCAGCGGTTGAAGGACAGCATGCGGCTAAACATGTCGTCACTGGTCCAATCAGGCAGGGGGCCAGAGAAAATTACAGAGTCCGACATTGTTTTGGCAAACTTACACACCGAAGCAACATTAATTTTAGTGACCTCCGATTGGCGTAACCGGGTGTCGTTACCGCCAGCGTGAATAAAAATCTTACTGTATTTACGCTTATCCTTAGCCAGCAGTTTCAGGTAAGATTTGATGTCGCCCGCTCTGGCCCCAGGTAAACATTTAACTATGGTTGCTGAAGTCTCTAATGCCATGTTTCTGACTATGGAGCTGCCAATGATCAGAGTCGGCTTGTCAGTGGGTGCGTCACTGAGCGGGGAAAATCTATTAGAAACGTGGACGGGTTGGTGGTTGGCAGAGGGACCTTATCAGTGCTCCTGCATGTTTGTGCTATACAGTAATTTCAGTCATTATCTCTGTGGTTGCTTCCCCCTTCACTCCAAACACAGCTTAACACTATTTTCTTGTTAAACAAGATTGCCTCTGTGTTTGTTTACCAGGTATAAAGTCGCCATCACCAAACACAAAGACCTGGAACAAACCAGCAGCAGTCTGTACAATCAAAATGACATTTGGAGTCCAGCTGTTGACTTCAGCAAGTTCATTGAAGACAATGAAAGCATTGAGGATGAAGTATGTTCTGTTGTGATCAGTATGATAAATTAAACACACAATTGCTAACTGGTATTTTAGGATGTAACTAAAGCAGCTGCTTTATGTTCCTGCAGGACCTTGTTGCATGGGTGACAGCTGGTTTTCTTCACATTCCTCACGCTGAGGACATCCCCAACACTGTAACAGTTGGCAACGGGGGTGGGGTCCTGCTGAGACCCCATAACTACTTTGATGAGGACCCATCCGTGAACTCTGCAGATGCGGTGTACTTTGACCCAGGTACCAAGGACAGCTGTAAGAACAACAGGATGGCTTGCTTGTCCCAGGAGATGTGTAGTCCCGTCCGTGAGAGCTTCACCTACAACGGATTTGAAGGAGTCATGAAGTTTGAGGACTGGGACTAAATTTAAAGCAGCTTTTGAACCATACTAACCTCAGACAGGCAGTTTGGCAAATGTAAATAAAATGCCTAACGTGTTCTTATTCACCCACCCATATTTAGCATGTGTACTTCCTTCTGACACTGATTCAGGGCCAGTTTGCACAAGTATATTTTGACATGTGAAGGAGCTAAAGGTAGAACCACCAATTTTTACAAGTCATTCTTTGGTGATCTGAAGTGTGCATGTGATTACCCTCAAATATGATTATTTTACTATTACACATGTGTCTCAAAAATGTGATGTTTTTAAATATTTTTGTTTGAAAATTTTATTACATTAACTATTAAACAGTTCTGCTTTCATTTGTTTCTACATAATTTCACCAAAGAAGATGTTTTTCAGCAATCATAAAGGTTTTCCTCAAAGCTTCTGTCACCCTCCTTATAATAAGATGAGTATGTTGGCTTGGCAGACCTGCAAGCATTTTTGCAGTCTGTAGCAAAGGGTGACGAGAGCGGAGTAGCTAGAAAGCAGAACACATCAAAAGCCGTTGTAAGCCACAACTATTAGTTTTAAAATTAAATAAATTGAAAAAATCTAAATGATTCTGTTGTGAATTTTGTACTTGCTCAAATGTCCAACATCTGGACCAAATAAAATCTGAGTAGCTGTGAGACAAACAGCTCTGATATGTTTGTCTTCATAACAGAAAAGCTTTCCTGAATCCTTTTCTTGGTCCTGCGAAAATAAAAGTGGGTCACTCTTCGGTCGTGTTTGCTGGTTTTAGTGAGGTTTTTTGAATGAGCTCACCAGTCTGCTTTATTGTAAACATTGAGGGTTGGTGCTCGCAGTTACATGTGCTGATATTGCAAAAACATTAGAAGGAGAAGAAAATATCATTCCTATAGCGCCTCTCAAGATAAAAATCACGAAGTGCTTCACAAAAACAAAAATGTAAAAGTATAAAAAATAATTTAGAAAATGGTTAAAAATATATTTAAAATGAGCAAAAATAGACAATTGTGATTTTTTAAAAATGTAAAGAAAGAGAGAGAGTGAATAGGAAAGAGGGAAATCAGTGGATCCTGAGGAAGGTGGAATAGGTGGGGAGAGCAGAATAAAGAGAGAGTGGTGAAGAAGGTCATACAAAAGCCAGCTTGAACAAGTGAGTCTTCAGCTGCTTCTTAAAGGAGACCACTGAGTCCACTGATGTCAGGCTCAGGGGGAGAGAGTTCCAGAGTCTGGGGAACACAGCAGCAAATTATCTGCCACCTTTGGTCTTTAGCCTGGTGCTGCACAACCAGTAGGCTTTGGTCACTGGACCTCAGGGACCTGCTGGGGGTGTAGGGACTAAGAAGATCACCAATGTACGATGGTGCTTGTCCATGTAAGGCCCTATAGACCAGAACCAGGATCTTGAAATGAACCCTAAAGTTGACTGGCAGCCAGTGAAGCTGGAGGAGAAGCGGGGTGATGTGGGTGTGTTTGGATGACTTGGTCAGAAGCCGAGCACAGGCGTTCTGAACCACCTGTAGACGGTTCAGGGAGGTTCTGCTCAGACACGTGAAAAGAGAGTTACAGTAGTCTAAGCGTGAGGAGATGACGGTGTGGAGAACTGTCTCAAGTTCAGAGCGAGATAGAATGGGACTCAGCTTAGCAATGTTCCTGAGATGGAAGAAGGAAGAGCGAACAAGAGAACTGACATGAGAATCCAGGGTGAGAGCTGGGTCAAAGGTCACGCCAAGATTCCTGACAGAAGGTTTGGTGTGAGAAGCAAGCTGACCAAGAGAGTCTCTGACTTTGGGAACCAGCTTGTCTGGGGCACAGATGAGGATCTCAGTCTGAAGGTTGGTTTATGCTTGATGCGTCCGCGAGGTCCGCACGGCTCCGCGCGGAAAAGTTTCGTCATTTTGCGTCATTTTAACAACCACGCCCCTCCACCGCGCCTCCGCACGGCCCAGAATTGAGTGAATGCGTCAAGCATAAACCAAGCTTTATCTTCATTCAGCTGAAGAAATCTCCCACCATCCAGGTTTTGATAGAGTCTAAGCAGGTGTGTAACAGCTGCAGCTTAGACATCTCATGGGGCTTAAAGGAGAAGTACAGTTGGATGTCATCTGCATAAAAATGGTAGGAGATTCCTTTGAAGGAGCTCAGGATGTGCTGAAGAGGAAGCAGATAGAGGAGGAAGAGCAGAGGCCCCAGCACAGAACCTTGTGGGACACCATGGGTAAGGGAGGTGGTGGAGGACCTAAACTTGGGGACGGCCACAGAAAAGGAGCGCTCAGACAGATAAGAGGAGAACCACTCCAGAGCAGTTCCTGATAGGCCTACCCAGTCTCTCAGCCTCTCCAGTAGCAGGTGATGGTCAACAGTGTCAAAGGCTGCAGTCAGGTCCAGCAGGACCAGAACAGAACAGTCCCCTGCATCACTTTAAGTCAGAAGGTCATTAGAGACCCTAAGAAGAGCTGTTTCAGTAGAATGAGCTCTACGAAAACCTAACTGGAAGCTATCATAGATGTTATGTTCATCAAGAGCAGCTGTGAGTTGTTTAGCCACAACCTATTCCAAGATCTTGGAGATGAACGGAAGTTTAGAGATGGGTCTGAAGCTGCTATGGAGAGAGGGGTCGAGACTCGGTTTTTTAAGAAGCGGGTGGATTACAGCATTCTTAAAGTAAGCAGGGACCTGACCAGAAACCAGAGAAGCATTAATTATAGAGAGCACGCTGGGACCGATGGACAGAAAAGCACTTTTAAACAAAGATGAGGGTAAGATGTCGAGGGGGCATGCAGATGTCTTCATAGAGTTAACTATGAAACCGGAGCAAAGCTATCTAGGATGATGGGCCTGGTTGGAGTCGGGAGAGGCAGCGATAAGGCTGAAGGAGAGATGCTAGATCGAACCTTATTGACTTTGTCCACAAAGAAAGACAGAAAGTTCTCACAGTCTGTAACAGAGTGGATGGATGCTGTAGGAGAGGCAGGAGAGACGATGCTGCTGATGGTGTTAAACAGCGCCTTGGGGTTCCCTTTGCTCTGGGACACCAGGTTGGAGAAATAGGAAACCCTCACGTCTCTGACTGCAGAGTTAAAGGATGTCAGAAGATCTTTTAGGTGCAGCAGATGGACGTGGAGATGGGTTTTCTTCCACAAACGCTCAATTTTTCTGCATTGGCGCTTCAGGGTGCGAAGGCTGTCATTAAACCAGGGAGTAGGGTTCACTGCAGGAACTGATCTGGTTCTGACAGGACAGATGATGTCCAGAATGGAGAGGCAGTGCTCGTTAAACTGAGAAGTTAAGGAATCTGGGTCGTTATCAGAAGAACAGGGTGGATCAAAAGCAGCAGAAAAATTGCTAGCTGTGCTCTCATTAAGAAAACGAGAACTAACCATACGGCGAGCAGGAGGTGGGGACGCAGAAACTGACAAGTTAAAGTAAATGTAATGGTGATCTAAAATATAACCGTCCTCAGGACAAACACTGTCAGCATTTAGACTCAGGGTAAAAACAAGGTCCAGAGTGTGCCCCCTGGTGTGTGTGGGGTCAGAAACATGCTGGATAAAGCTGAAGGAGTCCATAAGATTGGAGAAATTCATGGCAAAGAGATCAGACGGATCATCAACGTGGATGTTAAAGTCACCAACAATCACCAGTCTGGACAGCTTCACAGTGGAGGATAGAAAGTCACTAAACTCCTGTTTGGACCAGGTGGACCATAGACCACAGCACAGTAGAACGGGTCCTTACGCCTGACTTTAATCAGCTGCAGTTCAAAGGAAGCAAAGTCACCAGAGGTTGTAGAGCTACATGGAAGATGGTATCTGAAAACAACAGCTAGGCCTCCACCACGACCAGAACCCCGAGGCTGGCTAAGAAAAGAATAACCACTCGGGCAGAGTTCAATCAGAGCAGAATAATCAGATGTTTGCTGCCAAACTTCAGTCAGAAACAGAAAATCCAGGTTTTTAGAGAGAATTAGATCATTGAGCAGGAATGACTTATTGTTAACAGAGCGGGTATTTAATAGAGCCATGTGATCATAGGAGATGGTAGCAGGGACACTACTGAAGAGGATCGCAGACAGGAGCAAGGTGGAGATACGTTTGAAAAAGTGGCCGGTGACAGCACAGGCGCCATCTTGTTACCGACCAATTAGTAAAAGACTAATAGTTTACATCAGTGGTTCCCAAACTTATTTAGCCGCGCACCCCCTTCTATGTCCCGACCATGTCGACGCACCCCCCCCCCCCCCCCCCCCCCCCCAGCCCCCACATCGGGGCATGGCTCTATATATATATATATATCAGATGTCAAGCTAAACAGAAAGGGTTAAAAAAATTCCCCATCACTTTCATTTTTTAAATAGTAATTAATAAACATTCGATATCATTACAATTTCTTTTGATTTCATTTTGAATAAATATTTAGAGTGCCCAGGTAGCACATAAACAATGCAATTTAACGGTTTTCTTAAAGTAGGAACGTTTAACCTGTGCGGCCAGAGCGCTCTCCTTCCGTCTGCTCTGCGTAAACCTGAGCTGATCACCTACTTGTGCATAATCAAATGTCTATAGGGGACAAGATATAGCCATGATGTTCACTTTTGCCTCAGACCGACTTATTGCTGTTTTATGGTGTGGCTGAATCTGCGATCCGCTGTCATGCGGACTGGAATAACAAATGGTGCAACAGGACTTGTGGTCAGGTTCGGAGTCACTGGCTGGAGCGGACCCGACTCATCCCAGAAGCTAATATCTTAATTTGACCTTGAATGAAAAATAACTTCTTAAAAGTTTTTATCACAGAGGAGGCAGCGTTCATTTCTGCCTTCAGTCTGACAGCGGGCCGGAGTTAAAGCAGCGTGTGCGCTTATTGATTCTGTGCGCGGCACAGCTTCTCAAGTCACCGCGTCTCGCGCTATTTAAACCAATGTTGTGAAATTCCTTCTGCCCAGCCCAGATGTGCTCACTTGTGCACCCGTGAGCCGTGGTTCATCCGGAACGTGTCTGACCTCTGACAGACGCACTCTGAACTTCAGATCGTCAGCGCGCTGTCAAAAGCCTGAATAGGAATCATTTCTTGTTATTTTGTTACATCCACAATGTTCTGTGTGGAGGTTTACAACGTCAGAACACCTGCATGAGACAGGTGTTAATTACAATCTGCCAGAATGACTCACCACCTTCAGATTTCTCCAACACCGTTAAAAATGATCAAATACGGAACATATCAGCGTGCGCAGGCCAGAGTGCTGAAGCTCGGCGCATTATTATTATGAAGCTAGGGCACATGCGGAGGACACGCGCGCGCGCGACGGAACATATCGGCGTGCGCAGGCCAGAGTGCTGAAGCTCGGCGCATTATTATTATGAAGCTAGGGCACATGTGGATGACGCGCGCGTGCGCGCAAAAATATACTTGTTTTCAATTACATTTATTGTGTCCACTTACTTTTTCTTTGGCCCACCCACAAATGAGTTTCTACGCTAATGGTGACATATGACAGACTTCTCTGAGCTCCGCAGCCATTACACTTTTTACCTCGCGCACCCCCTAGCGGCAGCTCGCGCACCCCCAGGGGTGCGCGCACCACACTTTGGGAATCCCTGGTTTACATTATATTTAATCTTTGTATTTTTCTGTATTTTGGCAAGCCTTTTACTTTTACTCAGTAAAAATTTACGTATACTGCAGCAACAGCCTCTGCTGGCTGAACACCACTTTTCCATTTATGAAATAAAGACAAAATCTTCACAAAATCAGCTTTATCTCTGTCTTCTGCATGTCCTTTTAATGTTAAGTGTAGCTGATAATAAGAGGGGTGTGCATGTTTGTGTATTTTCCTCCTGTGCGAATCAGATTTCTTTTTTGCCTTTACTGATTCTGATAGAAATTTCTATTAACAATGGCAAAAGTTCACTGTCAGGTTTAAAATGTTGACAGAAAAGTGCTGAATATTCATGATTAGACTTCGGCAAAAGTTATGCCTAAACTGACAAGGACATTTTAATTGCTGTCATTGTGTTCTTCTCTTCATTAACATGGTAATGAGGTAAAAATCTGAATTCTGAGTTAATTTACTCATAGATGGGGCCGCGACTCTTTCATCTCCATGGCAACTGCAGGGCCAGGTTCAGTCTAAATGCACAACCTTAATGATTTTATTTATCCGCACATCCAGCCACAAAAGTTATGAATGGCCCCAAATAGATTTTCATTTAGGTATAATGATCAGAAGAAAAGTGGAATTTGACCAGGTTAAAGGGAGACTTTGCAGTTTTGATGTGCTTTTAGCACCCCCTAGTGTCAAGTTAGTGAAAGCACAAGTACAACTCCTCACTGTGCTGAAATCAGCCTTCATTAGTGTTTATAAGAGTTATGCATCAATAAGTCAAACAAGTCAGCTGTGTTCATTAAACATGCAGGAAACGTGCTGGAACGTGTTAGTACAAGCGCAACATCATCATCTTTTTTTCCCCGTGTCCTGTCTGGCTGTGAAGCAAACAGAATTGATGTCTGAATGCTGGTGACACGCCTTACAGATTTACTCTCAGGTGGAGCATCAAAGCGTCTGCTTTTAATGTCACACCTGATACTTAAAACTTTTTTGTTATTGCTTGTGAATGCTTTTTAATTCCGACCAGACACGGAGACAGAGGTGAAAGAGAAAGGAAGAGACAAAAGGTGAGTGTATGTGTGTGTGTGTGTGTGTGTGTGGGGGGGGGGGGGGTCCACAAAAATAAACTATCAATGATGAGCAAGAGTCTGCTTCTAGACCTGCAGAAATGGGACACAACAACAATACAACAGGAGCAAGCCATCACTGTGTCAACCTGATGAGGAAATATAAAATCAACATTGTTTTAGTGAACAATCACAATAATAAATCACAGTGCATTTAGTGCCAACCACAGCCTTAAGACATGTGTTGAACCTGCCCAAGTCCATACTCATGAGAGCACCATGTGAGCACCTGTGTGTGTACATGCACTTGTTCATGTAAGGTTTCTCTATAGGAGCGTCCAATAGAGTGTGAGAGGCCACAGATCCGCCCCCTACAGATGTGCAGGAGGCGGAGGGATTTCCGAGTCCCCGAGATCCAGGAGCTGCCCCAGAGCACCCTCCAGCCGGCCGAGCCCGGGACCCAGCGACCCGGGACCCAGGGGCGACCAGTCCTGCCTGCTGCTACTGGGGTGCTGATGAGCAGACTCCCCCGACCAACGCTGAGCAAAGCAACCCACCATCGGCTGGCCTACGCCAGTTGATGCCACCACACTACCCCAGGACCTCCAGAAAATAGGAAGTTATTTCACTTTTAATAAAATGGTTGTTTATAAACTTTGACCAACCAGATCTGAGAAATTTGTATAGGTGTTTACCAAGACCCTGAGGCAAGACCCTGAGGCATTCCCCGTCCTTCTTTGCTCAGAAAGCTCATTTCATTTAGTATGGAATAAATCTGTTAAAGATTAATTTGTTAATACAGAATAGGATTATTAACCTGTAGATTGAAATAAATCATTTCATCACACCAAACTAAGAGTAATTTTATTCAGAGAATGAAAGCCTCATCTTCTGAAGAGACTTGTGAGTAGGCCAGATAAGGGAGTCCGGAGAGGGAATTTTATTATTGCTTCCCTTCTTGGTAACAAGGTCATAGAGCAGTGGAAAGCACACAGTTAACCCTTGGTGCACTGATGAAGCAGTCTTTGGACAAATCAATGTCTGGTGACCTCTGACATTCCAGTAGACAAATAACTTTGGACATTTCCAATGCTACAACTGTATGAAAAATGTACATGGAGTGTATGTGGTGTGCAAAAACAGGTCACGTGTTGACTGTGTTTCTAAATGATTTAAAGTCCTCTCAGCTGACATCCTGCTACTTCTCTGCATATTCCCTCTGTGTCTGCAGACTGAACTGTTCTCTGCATTTGACCCATCCCTGGGGGAGCAGTGAGCTGCAGACACAGCCGCGCTCGGGAACCATTCAATTCAACCCCTTAATACTGAGTGTAAAGAATGGAGCCCCATTTTTTTCGGACTTTGGTATGACCAGACCAGGAATTGAACCCTGGTCTCCCAATCTCTGGGCAGACACTCTACCACTAGGCCACTGAGCTGGTGTTCAGCAGAACTATGACATTGTTAGGATAACATTTTTCTACATCTGATGTTACCAAGAAAGAGTGATCAGGTTCAGAGATTAACCCAAACTCTCTGAACCTGCAGCGTTACCATGGTGACCCAGCTGGCCTCAGTGAGATGCTCTCCACTGTAAACTCAGAGTTTTATCCACGTTCCTAAGTAGCCCACAAGCATCACAGGGCTGTACATACAACAGGCCCAACATTAGCACGCTGTTTTCATTTATTCTTAGAATTTTTTTCTCATCTGTTTTTGGACAAAAACTTTCAAGCTGTCTCTTTTATAAGTGTGTTGCTAAGAAATATGTTTCCAAGTTGATCATACCTGGGTTGACAGTTAGCAAGCCAGTCCGGTTAGGTAGAGTTTTTCTACTTTTGAGCCCCGCCCAGATACCTGCTGGCTGAGGTGAAACCACACTGACAAGCTAGTCATCACTCGGGTGTGGCTGAGCTCTGGGTAGCAGAACAAATCACTTCACCTCTTCTTTTGTTCCTGTCAACGTCTCTTTTTGTGGAGGACTGTGCAGCCAGACCTGTGAGAACGAAGAGCCAGAGAAGGAGCTGCTTCTGGATGACACAGGTGTGTTTCATTTGGAGCCTTGACTGTGTGGATATTTGTTCCTTGGTTTAGAAAACTCAGCCGCCAATGACATATATGAATGAGTGTGTGAACATGAAGACTGGGCGCAGAATCATGTGACGACAGTGGCTGTCTGCAGCAGACTGGATGTTTTCTCTAGCAAAAATGAGATGGGTTGGTTTAGATTTCCTGGTCAAACAGAAAGAACCATGAGAGTTCGGGGAGTGTTTGCTAACTGGATCAAACCTGATGCTGTTTCTCTCATTGAACTAAATAGTAGCTCCAACAACCTTCTTTGTTTTTGGTAAGTTCAACCATTTTGTTATGAATTGATTTTTAGAAACTTCTGGTTTTTCAATCAGGTCATGGAAGCATGAGGAAGTGTCAGAAGCCGTGGAGAGAGAGGGAGGTGCAGATCACTGAAGTATTCCATGAAACACCTCATTTAAAACAGATCCTGAGCATCTGTGTGTTTTGGCCTTAGATTCTGCAAAAGCACTTGTGTTTCTCTTTTATTGTGAACAGGTTTTGTTTCATCACTGAGCGTGTGGTAGGGTTTAACGCCTTTTACACAAAGGCACATCCACACTTTGACTTTCTGGGGCTGTAATTCCCAAACCAAACCATTAGTGGTTCTTGGAAGATGTTTGGGGACATTTTGAGAGTTTAGTGAAACCATTTTTTGAACATGAACATAGTCTTCTACACCTATCTCCTGCATTAGCTTAAGATAAAAAATAGACTGTGATTAGAAAAGCCTGACACATCTACATCCGTAGTGGAGTCAGTTGTAGAGGTGTGCTACTGTTAGCCAATCAGAGGCGAGATGTCAAAATATCAGCCTTAAAATCCTGCCATCTGAGGCCCAATCCCAATACTCACCCTTCAATTGCACGATCCTGTGCAGGGGTGTGAGTGCGTAGGGCGTCCCGGTTCTCGAGTGACAAACTTGACCATGCCCCTGTAGCAGCCTTGATCTGCACTTTGCACAAGTCCCCATTGATGCAGACTTCTGTGAAGGGTATTACCCACAATCCACTGCTGCACAGGAATTTTAAGAAGGCGGATGAATGGCTCAAGTGCCTTTTCTGAAAATATGTAATTTCAAATGAAAGATGTTCATTTACATATTTATTAATGCTCTGAATGTTTTAGACTGTAATGGCATCAAGGACACCTCCTTTGTTCCGTAGGTTTGATGTGGACAGCAGAGAAGGAAAATGTAGTCAAATAATTGTTTTTTGTTTGAAAGTTAAAGTTTTTTTTTAAGTAGCACATGCGGCGACTGGCATTGCGGCATGCATTTCAGTCTACGACGCAGTGTTTCCTGTCCCCATTCGGCACACTTGTGTCCTACGCACTCGAAACCTCCTTCAAGTGCACTTCACAGAAAGCTGCAGGGCACAGTGCAAATACCGGGAATGATACTTTCTCCTCCAGCTGACTTGTATTTCCCGAAACGGGTGCATTTGTGCTTTTTCCCCAGAGTACAACTTACAAGGCATTCATTCCAACTAGAGAACACTGCAGATGTATTGATTAAATGAATGTACCACATCTTAAATTAATCATCATACGCCTTGATCTGTGAATTTTAAATAAAGCAAAATCTGAGTTGATTATCTTCGTGTCTGGCTCGGTGAGTAGCTGCCCGGCTCCAGGGCATCTATCCAAAGTTTCATTTGTGGAGACACGGGTAGTGACCAGCTTGGGAATGAAGACTGATTTTCATTTGTAAGCATATAAACACAATTGTTCAGACATGCTTCTTCCAATTGCACCCCTTGTCCAGGATTAAGTCAATTTTGTCAAGGAAGCAGCTTGAGACTGTAATCCATGCCGTAGTACAGCGTACATTTTAGGACATCCTCAGGTCTCAGGTGTCGTGTCTCATGTGTCAGACTTCAGACCGTGGAAAAACGCCTCAGGCTACAGGAAAAACGGCTTCAGGGAAAAACGTTGTCAAATCAAAAGGCTTTAGGGAAGAAAACTGTCATAAATAGCACGCTCTGATAGAGACGACAAAACTAGCAGAATCGAGCAGAGAGAGCCGTTGCCACATGGCGGTGGACTTGGCGTGATGTCATCAACATTCTACAGCAGCAGATTGGGCTTCTGCCTGCACCATGGTGTGTTTAAATTAATCTGCCTTTTCACGGTACTTTTCCAGATATTGCTATAGATAGGCAGAATAATTTAAACGTACTGTGGTGCAGTTAGAAGCACAATCCGCTGCTGTAGCATGTTGATGACATCACGCCAAGTCCACTGCCACGTGGCAGTCCATTTTAGAATTGATTTGCATGTTGTCCACTTTGTTTTTAAATGAATACTAGGCAGTTTGCTTGCTTTAGCACGCCTTGTTGTCCATTATAAATTCACTGTGGTTGAAGTAAAAATGAAACTTCTCCTTTCTGTGAGTTTGGTTTTTAACACCTTCATCTAACAGCTGAAATGTCTCCTCAGCTTTCATTAATTTCTAGAGAAGTAATTCATCACTAAATTAAACAAATTAGCTGTGTTGACAGTCTACAGCATACAGGAAACGTGCTGGAAGCAGACTGCAGTTCCACCATGTCAGCTCAACTGCTCAGATCCCTCCACCAGCAGGGAGCAGCCCACCAACTCTGAAATTGCAAGTGTGGTATTCTGGCCTCAGGGGGCGGTGGGATCTGAGTGACTAACCTTGTAAAGCAGGGGTGTTGAACTCAAATTCGTACTGGGACGAAGTCTCAGGCCAAACTCAATATTTTTTGAAAAAGCGACGGCAAAATGGCTTTAAGTTTCCTTTATTTACAATTATGTGTTGTTGAATCTTTGCATTTGTAAACAAACTTATTTTTGCAGCAACACTGAATGTGGAATAACCAAACTACACACAAGCAAGGTAATTTTAAATGAAACACAATTCAGTGGTATTCATTACTTAAGTCTCGGTTTTTTATATTTTGTATTCCTTGAAATTCAGTAATTAAATAAAATGGAATACTTCAAATCTTTGAAGTGTTTCTATTTTATGGGTTCTTGTTGTTTAGTTCTTTATTTTATTTCACTCTCCTTTTTTGCTCCTATATGTTGTTGCTGCTTTGACACAAACCTTCCCCACAGAGGCACAATAAAGGGATTTTCTACTCTTCATCTACCTGTAATCTTTCCTGTTCCTGTTTTAAAGCAGGTTCCATCGTTTTTACAGGCCGAAACTCAACAAATAGTAATTCTCTTAATAGAAAATGCAATATCCCACCTATAAACTTTCATGGTTTAATGCAGAAAAAGCGCTCAAAACCACAGTTTAATTCAGTAAGCTCCACTCTGATGGACTCTGATGCTCACCTGTTCCAACCAGATAACTTGCATCTCTGGGGTTGTGCTCTGAGCTGAGGAAGGATTCCATCAGTGGGACTCCTTTTTGTTTTGTTCATCTTCATCACAGACAACAGTTGCTCACATAGGTTTGTGCTGCTGAAGATGGAGAGCATTTAAGCAGCTTGATCATCAAAGTCAAAGTCAGTCAGTTTTATTGTCAATTCTGCCACATGTACAGGACATACAGAGAACTGAAATTGCGTTACTCTCAAACTCTCGCTAGATAGAAAATAAACATTTAGTATAAAAAGAGTAACCAAGTTCAGAGAGACTGTGGGGGAAATTAGAGGAGAGGGGGAGAGGCGGGAGGGAGTTCAGCTTCCTAACTGCCTGATGGATAAAGCTGTCCTCATGCAGTTGAGTCTGTGTGTCGGGGAGGAGAGATAAAAACTGCAGCAGCCACATAGTCAGACTCAAACTTGAGCGTATTGAGAGAATTAAATCATCTCGGTCTGGAAGTTGGTTGGTGTGATTTCTGTCAGCTGTGAACAGATTAGTGAGCGGTTGAAATCTCCATTTCTGGGCTTCAAAGTTGGCGAATTGCTGAGTCAACTCAGTGCTGAGTAAGAGGAGTGTTTTCCGTTTGTCCGAGACTGAGTAGAGGAACGCTGCTAATGCCAAAACTGGTACCACGGATGCTAATGGCTAAACAGTAAGGGAGGGGCGCTTCAGCTGATGCGCTAATGCCACAAAGCACTATGGGATTTGTAGTCTTTAAGGCTAAATGGGTCCAGCAGGCCAGTTTAATGTATATTTGATATTTGATCTCATGGGCCAAATAAAAATAGGCTGCAGGCCAAATTTGGCCCGAGGGCCTGAGTTTGACACCTCTGCTGTAAAGGGTCATTTTAGCACATACTGGCTCAAGGAAAAGATTTACAAACATGAAAAAGTTGCCATTTTAATTTAGAGTTTTATCTGGAGAGACACCAGTCTATTTCCAGCCACTTGTAAACTGCCACACTTTAATGTGTCCACTGCAAGTGTCAGCAAACCAGTGATCCGTCTACCCTGAGACATAACCTGGTAACCTGAGGTGAGTGAGCCTCCTTGGGGGTTGGGCCCCGGCTGTGGAATGTTCTGCCTTTGGTTGTTCGAACAGCTCCTTCCATTGTATTTACAGATGACCATTTAAAAATGTATTTGTAGGCTGAATCATTCCAAAAAACGTGCTTGTCCCTAAATCTAATCAGTGTCTGTGTCAGTGCAATACATTACCAGTCAAAGGTGTGGAAACACTATAACAGAGTTACAATACTTTATTTTACACTCCTGTTTTTATTGTCTTCCTGATTATCTTGTTTCTTATGCTTTAGCTCGTCATATTGTGCTCATTTCATTTGATCTTATTTGTACTTCTGTCAATCAGACTGAGTCCAGGTGAGCAAGGAAGTGCTATAAAAATAAGATTGATGATGATGATGATGATGATGATTAGATGCACATGTCTTTTCATGCTGTTCATTAAACCCTTTCTGTTGTTATGTCCATCCACAGTTCTGCTGACCTGTCATAAGCTGCAGCTTTGCCTGAGGAACGGTTTTGTCAATGCAGAAATATCCTTATCACCTGGCCCTGATGGACCCTCAGGTGTGTCCACCCCCGGCCAACAGCAGCCTGTCTGTCACTAGCTATGACAAGTCCCCCATCAGTACATTCAAACCCAGCCACTCACGCAACAACAGCACCGGCTCGTCCAAGCAGTCAAAGCAGGTAAGTTTTAAGTTCAGTCACTTCTAGCTCATTTCCAGTTTAAGATAAATATGTTGACTTATTTTTTCCCCCATGGTAAAATTTGTTATCACCACTGTTATCAGAAAGGATGACAATACACATTAATACATCTCGTTTTGACCCACTGACTTGACGATGAATGAGCAGAAACCCTAAATCACTCTTGTAGAAGTGATGAGATTTGTGCATTAGATTTTGGAACACATTTTATGATACAGTCAGGAAGGCTGTTGTTGGTTTAGCTTCCAGAAAACAGTAGACAATGCCTCGTCTAGTAGAAGATGACCTTTATCATTAGCAACTCCACCACCCAGAAGAACTCCTCCAGGCTTGTGTTATTTGTGGAGATGAAACATCAATGTTGCAGAGCAAACAGAGTCAGTGGTCGAGTCTGTTTGTCCTTTCTGGTCAGGTCCCTGCTTACTTTAAGAACACTGTAATCCACCCGAGTCTTGACCCCTCTCACCATAGCAGCTTCAGACCCATCTCTAAACTTTTGTTCATCTCCAAGATCTTGGAAAAGGTTGTGGCTAAACAACTCACAGCTGCTCTTGATGAACATAACATCTATGATAGCTTCCAGTCAGGTTTTCGTAGAGCTCATTCTACTGAAACAGCTCTTCTTAGGGTCTCTAATGACCTTCTTACTCACAGTGATGCAGGGGACTGTTCTGGTTCTGGTCCTGCTGGACCTGACTGCAGCCTTTGACACTGTTGACCATCACCTGCTACTGGAGAGGCTGAGAGACTGGGTAGGCCTATCAGGATCTGCTCTGGAGTGGTTCTCCTCTTATCTTCCTGAGTGCTCCTTTTCTGTGGCCGTATCTAAGTTTAGGTCCTCCACCACCTCCCTTACCCATGGTGTCCCACAAGGTTCTGTGCTGGGGACACCTTGAGACTGTTGACTTGAGACTTTTATCCACACCTTCATCTCCTCACGCTTAGAGGTAGCTTAAACTACTGTAACTCTCTTTTCACATGAGCAGAACCTCCCTGAACTGTCTGCAGGTGGTTCAGAATGAAGAAGAAGAAAATATCATTTCTCAACGCCTCTCAAGATAAAAATCACGAGGCACTTCACAAAAACAAAAAAATGTAAAAATATAAAAAAGAATTTAGAAACTAAAAAAATATACATATTTAAAATAAGCAAAAAACAGACAATTGTGTTTAAAAATGTAAAGAAAGAGAGAGAGTGAACAGGAAAGAGGGAAATCAGTGGATCCTGAGGAAGGTGGAATAGGTGGGGAGAGCAGAATAAAGAGAGAGTGGTGAAGAAGGTCATACAAAAGCCAGCTTAAACAGGTGAGTCTTCAGCTGCTTTTTAAAGGAGACCACTGAGTCCACTGATCTCAGGCTCAGGGGGAGAGAGTTCCAGAGTCTGGGGGCCACAGCAGCAGATGATCTGTCACCTTTGACCTTTAGCCTGGTGCTGCACAACCAGTAGGCTTTGATCACTGGACCTCAGGGACCTGCTGGGGGTGTAGGGACTAAGAAGATCACCATTGTAAGATGGTGTTTGTCCATGTAAGGCCCTATAGACCAGAACCAGGATCTTGAAATGAACCCTGAGGTTGACTGGCAGCCAATGAAGCTGGAGGAGAAGCGGGGTGATGTGGGTGTGTTTGGAGGACTTGGTCAGAAGCCGAGCACAGGCATTCTTCATTGCCCCCCCTCCCCCCCCATGAGATTTTGCAATAAATATGCTAAATATTTACATATGAATTGTTTTAGAGCCCTTTTATTGGCAGAATCTGATATTAATTTAGTTCTTTCAAAAAAATGGGTCCCAATGTGGTTTGTGGTTGCCTTAGTGTGATGTCATAGGCACAAATCCCCTGTCCTCTTGTTTGGAAATGGAAATATGATCACCCTATATTAAACAAACTGTCCACCCGGGCTTTTGCGCTGCACAGAGGCGCTTCGCTGTCTATGACTTTGAACGTCAGTTGAGGGCAGTTGAGAGTCAGACTGACCAATGAAGAGAGGGCCTAACGTTAAGACCCTCTCCTCATTGGTCAGTCCACACAAGGTGGGTCAAAGGTTACCCTGAGCAGGTTATGTGATGTCAGGCATTCAAGTATTGAGTATATTTACTGCATATTACAGTAATATATTCTGTATGTGACCATATTAGGGTGATCCTTGGGTCGTGATGATGGGGCCCTTGAATATTGTTGCCCAGGGTACAACGAAGTGTTAATCTGGCCCTGGGGCAGCGCAGTGCAGAACCACAGCGATGTGGAACGATTTCCTCCCACTGAAACGGTCTGGAAACCCGGTCTGTCTGAGGGATGTGTCACCTGGAAAAATGTTCTCTGATTATGAAACTTTGGCTGAATAGCGCTTGTTCCCGTCTCTAATATGGAGACGCAAGACGCATCCAGTCTGAGGCAGAATCGCCTCTTCAGCTCAGAAAGCACCTGTAGAGACATTTGATCACGCACAAAGTTTATGTGGAGCAGAAGCGGTCGGGCCACGGCAGGTGAAATGTTCCTAGCCTACATGAAGTGAAACTGTTTAATTGTAACATTAATATGTTACTGGACATGCTGGTCTGGTTGGTTAGACCAGTGTTTGAAGTGGAAAACACACGCACACACACACACACACACACCAATTAAAATAATGCTGATAGCGTGGACTAGAAGACAGGTGATGGTTTGCGTATTTAAATGATGATCAGGCTGCTGTAAAATGTAATCTCCATCCACATCCAGACACAATTATCCTTTATTCTTTCTCTATTTGCTCTGCTCTTGTCTGGGCTGACCTACCTGATGGTGCGCGTGGCGCGCCTAGTGGCTGTGATGCACATTTTACACATTTGGAGAGGTGCGCTGGATGCTTTGCTTTTACTGGAAGATGGATTTCTTTTCCCAAAAATGTCGGAGATTTTGCCCCATGGATAACGTAAAAACTACCGGTGTGCATGTACCCTTATGAAAGAGTCCTACGTGGAGAGGTAAATATTAGAAGTGCAGGTGATGCATTCTGGTGCCTATAAATGAAAAATGAATGAAAATTAAATTGGGAGTTTTTACTTCATATTTTAGAAATTAAAATGATGGGGGAAAACATTTATGACGTCTTTTTAAACTAAATTTTCCAGCGCGACCTGCCTGCTTCACTTAAGTCACTGCTTATTAAGGTCCGTCCAATATTACCGTGGCCCACCCAAAAATGAAAACCTGGCGCCGCGCCTGTTATAAACCTCTGCAGATTGTTGTTCTTCACGTTATCAAACTCAGAGTCTGTACAGCTAATGTCGAGATGTAAAATTATGAATTCAGTCGAGCTCTTCCCTCCCTCTCTCTCCTGTTTCTCCTTGAAACCCGAAATCAGATGTTGGGTTAAAGGAGAAACAGGAGAGGGAGGGGAAGAAGGAGATGAGGCAAACAGAGTGAGTGCGACGTAGAGAAACCAGACTGGTGTGGAGGTGAGCTAAACGGCTGGAAAAGTGTGGGTGTAGAAACCCCCAAATCCCCTACGGGTGTGACGCCCATGATTCTATTTTTTTATTGTTCTGTACCTTTTCTGCTTAGTTTCTAGACTAGCGTTCCTAACAGGTCTATAAAATGAGCAACATATATGGTCTGTGACCATCAGCTCTATTAGCTAAAATCTGTGCGTATTCTCTCACTGATGGGGAAGCGCGCAGATAAATAAGTCTTTGACAAGTGACAGGTGTTTTGTCTTCTGTTTCCTTCATCAAATCAACAGAGGAAAAAAAATTAAAAATAAATATGTTTTCAGACGTGTGGATTGCTATTTAAACAATAACAAAACCACTGTAGATGTGATGTATAAAAAAACTACTAAATGATGATGCTCACAATGCATTAAACGTAAGGGACGTCATTCAAAATAACAAAACAAATACAGGCATGCACTTTTATAACATCAAGATTGTCCATCAACACGTCACTAAAACCTTTGTTACATATTGTAATCCCAGATTCAATGATTATAGCTCCGCCCTTCAAGCCATCGCCAATTGGATCAATCCCATCCCCTCAACCAATCACTAAAGAGCTTTTGTGCATGCCTGCATCCTAGCTGGGTTCTGGCCCTATAGAAGGGCACAGCAAGCATAGCTCATCTCCATAAGTCTCACTGAGCCCACAGAACCAGTGGGGCGAAGATGCTTGAAGGGCTACGCTATACTCAGAATCTGGGGTTGCAATATGTAACCAACTTTCTATTTCGTATAGCTCCGCCCTTTAAGCCATCACCTATTCGATTAAAGGCGGAGCCAGATATAGTCAATGCCACACTGGTTCAGAACTAAACCTGAGCGGACTCAGAGGCTCCACCTAATAAACCTCTACACCTGTCTGCAGGCGTAAACATGTGAGAACAGCTGGAGGACATGATGACAGCATGTGATCAGCGTATAGCTGATGAGAAGCAATCCCAAGGTTGCCTATGAACAAGCGGGAGGGAAGCTGTCACAATCAAGAGGACAGAATGTGACATATTGTGCTTAAGAACACAAGGATGACAAAAACGAAACTGCATAGTTTCTGATCAGAAACGTCAGCGACAGCTGTGATTAAGCCTTACTGTGCGTTGGCACCACATCGCTGAGATGATCGAGGTTGCCCTTTGGAACAATCACTATAGTAAACAAACAGCAGCTGAGCTGTGGGAGAGACGTAGAGTCTGAGCTCACACACTGGGCACAGCAGGTGGGATGCAGCATTATACTCTGACACATGAGGGGAAGGAAAACTCCTAAGGAGCACAAACTGACCAGATCATCAAATATGTGCCTGAAGAGAATGGGTTAGTTTTAGCTCGTTCAAACGATAAAGTTGTTTGAAGATGAAAAAAGGAGATGAGCTATGCTCGCTGTGCCCTTTTATGGGGCCAGGACCCGCCTAGGAGGCGGGCGTACACAAAAGCTCTTCAATGATTGGTTAAGGGGATGGGATTAATCCAATAAGCAATAGCTCAAAGGGTGGAGCTATACGAAAGAGAACATAACATCCTCATTAGCAATGAAACACAGCCTGTATATTGAATCTAGCTGTTGTCACAAAGAAATCTTTCTTAATAAGTCACAGACTCTCCATTATTATAAATTACCCTAGAAAATGTTGTAACCCTCCCACTGTCCTAATGGGTGTGACCCCACGAGGAAAGTTGACCATTGAGCAGGGTTGATGGTTTATCCCTTGGGTCCATGTGGCAGGGAGGAGGTGGTGCTCACTCCTCACCGCTGCCACATGGACCCAAGGGATAAACCAGCGATGCTCAATGGTCAACTTTCCTCGTGGGGTCACACCCATTAGGACAGTGGGAGGGTTAAAAACAAGTCAATAATCAAATACCTACAGAGACGGTGCTTTCCATAGAACAAGTGAGGATGGATGTGGATCTCACAAACAATTCTAACCTCTTCACTCCCTCAGTAAATGGCACATGTGAGCTACTTACTGGTCTACTGCACTTTGGTTGACTAACACAAAACAACATGAGAACATAAAAAACTGTAGGGAGCCTAAGTCACGCTTATCTACTTCTGGACCATGGGACCCCGGAAAACCGATAAAATGAATGCAAGTCAACGGGGCTAAAAATGCTATTTTCTAACTCTGCTTGTTATGTGCCATGGATTTCACACATGATTCATTTTAAAAACGCAGTTTGATACCAAGAAAGTGCTTACTTTTGATCGGGGGGAAACATTATGTTAGGTTTTGTGTGAAAATCAGTCCAAGACTACAAATGTGCTTCACCAAAGTGATGTCATCGAACCAGACATGGTGGAAAAACAGGGAAAGTTTAGCGAACCTCAAATCCTTCCTTAAGAAGGAAAAACCATGTAAATCTGGCCATGTGGAAAGCAGCAGCTGCAGTAGGGGAGAAGAGATTCTGTGGTGACGTATGTGACGTGCCGATGTCTGATATGTTGTCATGCTAATTCCGAACATGCCGATAAACCTCAAAGTACGTGACTTGGGTGGGTATGTCATCATTAGTTTTTTTTTTAATTGCAGTGCAACATATGTGCAATCCAGGGCGTAAGACAAAGCAGATTAGAAAATGGCTCTTTTAGCCACATTGACTTGCATTCACTCTTCTGGTGACTCATGATCTGACCGGAAGGGGAGGAGACTTAGGCCCCCTATAGCACCAACTGCTGGTAGAACTTTGTATTACACAGCATGGTGGGGCTTGACATTAATTGCATTAAAAATAAGATTTGAGTAAATGTACTATATTCCTTGGTTTTCCTCTTTTTAGGGATAGTGATAATCATGTTTAAATGATATATACCACTATAGCTGGTCTCCTGCACCTTGCTGAGGTCAACAGGTACTCCATATGTTTGGTACATTATGGAGGTGCCCTAAGGACTAGGACATGTCTTAGTATGATAACGACTTGTCTCAAAAATGTTCCCTCTTGTTCTGCATCAGTCTCGCAACTGGGAGGTGATGAATGATGCATCTTCGGTTACTGGCTCTTCTTTGGACCTCAGTATTCCTGGTATCTGTGAGGGTTACCTGATGAAGAGAAGGAAGTACCCCCTCAAAGGCTGGCACAAGGTGAGAAGCACACCTGCTTTACCTGTGGAGCAGCAATAAAGCGGTCAGAAGCTAGCAGCTGAGCATGCAGCTCTGAGGGTGCTTCTGCAGGTAAAGAGTTTGAGACGGAGCAGTGGGAGAGCATGCTTTATTGATAAAATACTTTTCTGTGCATTTCAACAGGTTTCATGTTGAACCCATTTCAGACAGCAAATTAAAAATGTGTGCTGAAGTGCATGTCTGAACAAAAGTCTACAACTGTTTTTGTGTCACTGATAATTATTAATGATGTATCATTAGATGCACGCGTGTGGTTGGAAATGAGCAGAACTGTCTTTTTGCTAACAGAACTTGAAATACATAAAAATGTCAAAAGAAATAATGAAATTAATAAAGAAGCTTCCGCCAAGTGGTTTTTTTTAGGTTAGGGTTCTGAAGATTACGTCTGTGCAGAAGTCCTGAACTTGAGTCAGCGGCCTCTGTTTGGAGAAATGGCTTTTATGTTCTTCAGGATGAATGAGCTTGTGGCTAAAGACCAAATCAAGTCTGGCAGGAATTTCATGGACACGGGCTTGAGTGAAAGTGCATAAATTCATGTTTCTTAATCTTCAAATGATTGTGTGTGTGTGTGTGTGTGTGTGTGTGTGTGTGTGTGTGTGTGTGTGTGTGTGTGTGTGTGTGTGTGTGTGTGTGTGTGTGTGTGTGTGTGTGTGTGTGTGTGTGTGTGTGTGTGTGTGTGTGTGTGTGTGTGTGTGTGTGTGTGTGTGTGTGTGTGTGTGTGTGTGTGTGTGTGTGTGTGTGTGTGTGTGTGTGTGTGTGTGTGTGTGTGTGTGTGTGTGTGTGTGTGTGTGTGTGTGTGTGTGTGTGTGTCCTGATGAATTTGCTTGTTTTTCTTAGAGATATTTCCTGTTGGAGAAAGGAATTCTCAAGTACTCAAAGACGCAGCAAGATGTGAGTCATCATCAGAGCAGCTGCCTGATGCCTCGTATACAGATTTACTTTTTTTTCCTCTTGAGTTAAGAAAAGAAAATGACATTTTTCCTCTGTCCTGGTGGTAAAGATTCAGAGGGGGAAGCTCCACGGTTCTCTGGACATCAGTATGGCGGTCATGTCTGTGAACAAGAAGTCCAAACGCATTGACCTCGATGCTGGAGACAATCTTTATCACCTCAAGGTGTGTCCTTGTGTCTTTCAGAAGATGTTTGCTGAACATACCATTTAAACTATTTTATATAAATAGTATGCATTTAACATTAAATGTTTCCTCTTTCCTTTCCCATTTTAGGCAAAAAGCAGTGACATCTTTTACATCTGGCTGACGAAGCTGTGTGCCCATCGTGTCTTTAGAAAAAATGAGGCAATGAGCGTCCATCGTGGTGTCCTACACGCTCTGTCATTGGGCCAGAACACGCTGCCAGCTGTAGCCAGTCAGCAAAGCAAATTGATCGTCAGTATTAACTCCCACAGATCAAATGATGTGCTTTGTTTGTAAAAGGCCGTTAAAATGTTTCAGGCTAACGTTAAGAGAAAATATTTTCAGCTGCCTGCTTTAATCACAGCAGTTGCAAAGCAGGTTACACTTTTAGAAATCATGTGCTCATGTGTAAAAAGCTACAGGCACTGTCTATTGGAGCTGGTATAGCAACGGGATGCCATCTTGAATGGGTCCCCATTCGCCCCAAGGGCATTTATTTCTATTGAGGAAGGTGTTTACCCAACTAAAAAACTTTCAGTTCAATTCAAGTTTATTTATATAGCGCCAAATCATGACAAGTTGTCTCAATGCACTTCACATAATAAACATTCCAATACAGGTCAGGTCATTAAGCCAATCAGTCAAAAGGTTCCTATATAAGGAACCCAGCATGTTGCATCAAGTCACTGACTAGTGTCAGAGTCTTTACAGCTCATACTGAGCAAGCATGCAGTGACAGTGGAGAGGAAAACTCCCTTTTAACAAGAAGAAACCTCCAGAGAATCCTGGCTCAGGATAAGCAGCCATCCTCCACGACTCACTGGGGATCGAGAAGACAGAGCAGACACGCGCGCACACACACACACACACACACACACACACACACACACACACACACACACACACACACACACACACACACACACACACACACACACACACACACACAGGTTACATTGTGATTTCTTAGTAAATTTTTCTATTAGGTGAGAGATAAACTTTATTGTATTCATCCTAGTGGATCTATAAACGGGTAAACTAGTAGTAGCACATTCAATGTCAAAGCAGTGTGCTAGCCGATGGCCCCCTCCATGAGGCCACCACAGCTCAGCAGAACATCATTGTAGCTTCTTCTGGGGAGAAAAACACTTAAAGAAAAAATAAAGTTAACAGCTGAAATAGCAGGAAATAATATAGTTAAAGAGCAGATTGTAGAAGAAAGCAGTAGAGTGTGGAAAGTGGTCAGTGTGTCCTCCAGCAGTCTAAGCCTATAGCAGCATAACTACAGAGATAACTCTGGATAATCTATCCTATTTAGATGGAGACATGTTGGAGACAGGGCAAGGGAGAGCCGTCTTTACCGACTGTACACTCCACCTCTCTCTACTCCCCCACTTGTCCAGATCTAGGCTAACATCAGAACCACAGGCCCATCCTAATATGCATTTTCACAAAGTTTTTTTATTCATTCATTCATTCATTCATTCATTCATTCATCATTTATTTATTTATTTATTTATTTGTGTGTGTGTGTGTGTGTGTGTGTGTGTGTGTGTGTGTGTGTGTGTGTGTGTGTGTGTGTGTGTGTGTGTGTGTGTGTGTGTGTGTGTGTGTGTGTGTGTGTGTGTGTGTGTGTGTGTGTGTGTGTGTGTGTGTGTGTGTGTGTGTGTGTGTGTGTGTGTGTGTGTGTGTGTGTGTGTGTGTGTGTGTGTGTGTGTGTGTGTGTGTGTGTGTGTGTGTGTGTGTGTGTGTGTGTGTGTGTGTGTGTTTGGCATGATGGTTTAAAGACAAATATAAATAAACAGAATAAATAAAATTAATTGAAATATAACATTTCAACAGGTAGGCTAGACAAGTCAGCAGTGACCTCTACTCAAGGCCATAGATTTGGCACGGACGGAGGCAACGTGTCCCCACCAACAATTTGACCGCCGCTGCAAGCCATTCACCGTGTCGTTACCCTAGAGAGGTGCAGAAAGGGTTCAATGATGTTCTCCTCTTGAGTTCTACCTCCGTAATGCATATGGCCAGTGTGATTGGCTGTCCCGTGTGCCAAATATGCTGGTTGTTAATAGCATCATAGCTTGATGGAAAACTTTCCAGTCATATGCAAGACTTGTGCACTGTAAACAATTTTTTGGAATGTTAATGTCACCCAAGAAAATCATCTAAAATGGGACTAAATGTATTAGTTAAATACTGAAATAAAGAAAAATGTGTTAATTCTACCCATTTTATTTAATTGACAAATAGAACAAGCTATGTCTTAACTTTGAATATAAGTACTATTTGCAAACATATATGTGGTATAAATTAACTAAGTAAATAGTTACCTCGATTTTATTGGGTAGTTTTTATACACAAAAAATGGGCATAGTTGTCTACTCTGTTGACTCAAGTTGGGTTTGGAGAGCGAGGAACCATCCAATATGGCATCAACGCTGATATACTGTCAAGCAGCCAATGGGGCATCTACATATTCACGTCTATGCTGTGTGACTTTTGCAGAGGATATGCTATGCTAGCAAAACTTGGTGGTGATGGCTTCTCTCTGAACATCCAGAGGACAGATAACCCCTGGCATCCCTGTGAGCCAGCTAAAAGGCCCACAGAGGTGAATCTGAAAGCTGATTGGTTAATGAACACGGCTCCCTTTCTTTTCAACATAGCTATCAAAAGCCCACTCTATAGGCGTATGGGCCTTGGGCAGATTAGACCCCCTCTGGCAGCACGGAGGCAAAATCGGATTTGACAAAATAATGAAAATCCAGACCGGTAGAGGACATGCTGCAGCCAAGAGAAACGTTCCCCAAACAGGAAAATAAAATCTACTGTAAATCAGTAAATATAATTTCATTGGACTAGCATCGTTCTATAAGTTAGTGATTTTGATCACGTTCAGGCCAGCAGAGAAGGCCTTGCTGGTGCTGATGTACTCTACTGATCATTTGAAAGTTTGCTTCCTCAACATCCAAAAACCCTTTTAACAGCAAACTAAAAACCAAACCTGTCATTCACATTTAGGCTTGGCTGTAAACAACACATCTGTGTTTGAAAACACTAGTATGTTATTAAGGAGTGATTTCATTTGGAGTTTACCATCTGCTGCTCAAAAACATGTTCCTGCATTACACCACCAACTTCTGAGCATGTTTGGTCTCCAGAGGTTTCCACCCAGTTGTGTTCTGATCAGTGTGTTTCTTGTGTTACCTGTTGTTGCTCTTTAGAGTCCTCATTATGCCAGCTCCGCATCCACATGCCATTCTGAGATGGTTAGCCCCACCCAGGTCACTTCTCATCCAGCCGTAACCAGCAAAGTGTCGGCTTGGCTGCAGCAGACCCATGACATTGATGCAACCTCCAATGGTGAGGGAGCTCTTAGGTTAACATGGGGTTTAATAGCAGAGTTCACCTGTAATCAACAAGGTCCGTGCTTATATTGGGATACAAACGTGACCTCTGACCCAATCAAATGGTGAACTTTGAACTGTTTTATTCACTAACCTGTAATTTTCCACTCACTGTTGATCAGACCTTGCTCGCAGCCAAGCAGAACTGACAGAACTTGCTCAACTGGTCCAAAGACTCCGCTGGCTGGAAGGAGGCTTCCCAATCACAAATACTGATCTGGAGATGAGGATCAGCATGCAGGTGAGCAGACGGTCAGAGTACTGTAAGCTGTTTTAGATAAATGCAGGTTAATAAAGAGTGTGTGTGTGTGTTTTAAGAATATCACCCTGGAAAAACCAAAGAAGAAGACTGGAAAGTTCATTGGTCACTCCAGGACTTTGTCTCGTGTGGAAGCTATGGGTGGGACGGTAAGACATTTGACACTCAATAGACATGATTTGTGCTTTTGTTATTAATATTATTAGATTAGTTTTGTGTTGTTGCTTTGTGCTGATGAGTGGTTTGCTGTTAAATGTGTTGTTTTTATTTCTGATAGTTTTTAAACCGGAGCTTCAGCTCCAGAGAAATGAACAAAAGGAAATGTTAGCTGAAGTATCTAGTCAGTCTTGTTAACATTTCACCCTCCCACTGTCTTCATGGGCGACCGCGCCAGGAAAGCTGACCATTGAGCAGGATTGATGGTTTATCCCTTGAGGTCCATGTGGCAGGGGTGAGGTGGTGCTCACTCCTCACCCCTGCTCTGTGGATAGCAAATCACTGGTGTCCATCAATCCCCAGTTTACCTCTAACAGTGAAGTCGGACAAAAACGCTGAGTCAGCCGACAGCGAAAGTTACGCAAATAAAAGAGAAATAGCCAAAGACTGCAAAAACATTTGGGTTTCTAGTTCTCCTTTGCCGCACACTGGAGCTACCGGTGTTATGCTGAGAAAAGTTATCCTGCCTGCTCCATCACATGAACACGCATTGCTCACAGTTACATATTGAGGGAGTAAACGACTTGAAATAAGAGCAATGGTGCTACTTTTAAGTATTTCACAATATAAACAAGTTTTTATTCTGTGTACTTGAAATGTTAAACTGAAAGTGAAACTTAAAGGACAGTTTGGATGTGTTCTCCTTATTTTAATGCTTTTCTGGTCGAAACAGGAGCAAAGGAGTGTGATCTGAACATCCCTAGTGGAGTCCGTCATGGATTAAGGGCCATTCGGTCTTTGTAGCACGGTCTGGTTCACATAGTCAGAAGAAAGATGGAGATGTTCCTATGGTACTACTCCACCAGGGAAGGGGATCAAGACCTCCAACTCCAAAGCCATGGTTCTCAGAATAGAATAGACTATTAATCCCTTAGTTGGGAGATTAACTTGCTAGAGCAGCACATACACACAGAGAAAAGAAAGAAGAAAAATGTTACAGATGAACACACACAGCAGTAAACTATGATTGTAACCTTCAACCACTGACAACAGCAAATGAAAAGAAAACTTGGGTTCCAGAAGTATGCAGCAAAAGAGACACAGACACACTAATCTAACATCTGCTATTGCACAAGGGTTACAACACACTGAAATGCAGGGGGGGGGGGGGGGGGGTTGCCAGTTCTGGGTCTCTTGGGCAGAGGTATCTAGGTGCTGCTAAGGAGGGAGCAGTAGGTCAGCATGCGGGTTGGGGTTGAACTGCTCACACAGCACTCACTTTACAGGTTGATCTACATTCCAACCCTCACCAATGGCCATGAGCTTTAGGTAACCATCAAAATAACCAGATTACAAATATGAACAGCTGAAGTGTTTGCTCCACTAGGCTCCACCTTGGGAATGAGGTGAGGAGCTCGGGCATCTCTGGAGTCCTGTGCTGCTGCTTCTCTACAATGAGAAGAGGAGAGAGTATAAGAGGTTCAGGGATACAAATTCAATTCAAATTCAGAAATACTTTATTAATCCCAGAGGGAAATTCAATGGTCAGACTGGCCCTTAGATGCCTCTTGTGGGTTTGTGGGAGGTGGTTAGGACATGGCCTGTTGACAAGAGGCTCCTGTGTCACACACACACACACCAAAAGAAGCTGTATTAGTCTAGCCTATAGGACAACCCAAGGGACCGCAGGAGGAGCTGATAGAAGTGTGATGGTTCCTTGCAAAGCATATCAGTGACTCTGGCCTGGAGAAAGATGAGCTATGACATAAGCTGCCTTTGTGATGCTGAATTCTTTGTCTGTCATTCCTAGTTCACATCAAGCCACTTGAGTACCAGCTGTGGCTCTGGATTGGGTGCATCGGTTCAGTCCATACCTGACCATGTTTACTCCCAGCTGTCAAACCCTCAGGTCACTTCACCTGAAGCCAAGAAGCTCCACCAGGACATCTGTAGTCTGTCTCAAAGGGGTAAGATCTTCCCAGTGGCTCCAGCTCAGACTAAAGTTGTTGGCTTATTGTTTTTAACTAGTTTACATTTTCACAGCTGTTTAGGTGTGTGTGTGTGTGTGTGTGTGTGTGCGCGCGTGCGTGCGTGTGCGCGTGTGCGCGTGTGCGTGTGTGTGTGTGTGTGTGTGTGTGTGTGTGTGTGTGTGTGTGTGTGTGTGTCTTACTGACTAATACTCATGTTACAGTTCACTCTTCTCTGAAGGCCATTCATGAGGTTCTGACTTTAGAGAGAGAGAGACTGAGGCAGGCATGGGCCGGACCCGACCTCAGACAGAACACGTCTGAGCAGCTCGCTACTCTGTGCACCACACTGTCAGAGGTAAGAACTCATGCTGGGTAACATGGAAACCACAGTGCCCCTCCTCCAGACCCTGATCTGATCTACTTCCCCTGGGACTTCAGACAGATTAGGGTTTCTGGTTCAAAACCTGTTGCTGCTTCTGCTCATTAGTGGTGATCTGGGAGAACAAAAGAGGGCCAAGCCCTAGCAGTCTGTGTGTGAGGAGCATCGTGAAACAGTTGAGCAGGTCGGGGCTGTTTGTAGGGAGGAAAAACCTCACAGAGGACACACCTTAGGTGTGTGTGTGTGTGTGTGTGTGTGTGTGTGTGTGTGTGTGTGTGTGTGTGTGTGTGTGTGTGTGTGTATGTGTGTATGTGTGTGTGTGTGTGTGTGTGTGTGTGTGTGTGTGTGTGTGTGTGTGTGTGTGTGTGTGTGTGTGTGTGTGTGTGTGTGTGTGTGTGTGTGTGTGTGTGTGTGTGTGTGTGTGTGTGTGTGTGTGTGTGTGTGTGTGTGTGTGTGTGTGTGTGTGTGTGTGTGTGTGTGTGTGTGTGTGTGTGTGTGTGTGTGTGTGTGTGTGTGTGTGTGTGTGTGTGTGTGTGTGTGTGTGTGTGTGTGTAAGAGAAAGTGAGACTGAGAGGCAGGCTTTTGCTTGTGACACAAACCAAGACAGGTGTGTTTCCAGACCTTTTTACTGGGAGTTCGTATGGAGGTTGGGTGAAACCAGTAGGGAGTGACCTCCTAGTGACTGAGACTAAACCAAGTTCTCTGGAATCAGGCCTTTCAGTCATGATATTGTATGTTTGATTTTGCTGCGTCTTCCCTACATGGAAATTCTGTATTTACCTGCATGCCCATGTGTGTTTATGCATGTGTAGCTTGACATTCAGTCCCATCTTACCAAAGTCCACTCATTCTCGCTGTCCTCTGACTCTACTGAAGAATCCTTCTGCACTGTCCGCCCAGACCAGGTGTGTACTGCTTTAGTCCCAGTATCATCTGAATTGTTGCATTTAAAATCACAATGTAAAATCTTTCTTTGACATAGGTTTTCCTTTTTATAGCATGACACGTTTGGGCCAAATCACATCATCTACATTATAGTCGGTTTCTTCACTGGTGTTTGGTGTTTGAGATCAGTCACTTCATATTCTAATGAAAGTAAACTCATCGGGAATGGGGTGGCACCAGAACTTCTTTTTCTGGAGGTGTTGGCTTTTCATTGAGGGTGCTATGAGATCAAAGATTAAGTTAATTTCCCATTAGCTGATTATCTTTTGTTTAACTCTGTAAAATCCTCCGTCACTTCCTTAACATACTGTTGTAAACTTCTGTCTGTAGCACAGAGCTGCTGTTCCGGAGTTGCCGCTGAGTGGGAACAAGAGAAGAGTGTGTGTGTGTGCGTGCGTGTGTGCGTACGTGCGTGCGTGCGCTCGGGGATTTCCGCATTCCTGAGAATGTGAACACTACATCGCTCGTGCTAGACAGAACCCACACCATACAGCCTGACCAGACCCCAACCGTGCCGACGCTAATGTGTAGGCGCCATTTGAGTCCAAGTGGGCCCTGTTCCGTGCTTCCATTGTCAAGGTGGCCAACCAGAGCTGCGGCCGTGTCGTAGTGGCAATCCCTGAACCTGCTGGTGGACACTGGCGGTTAGGGATGCCGTCAAGCTGAAGAAAGAGTCCTATTGGGTCTTTTTAGCCTGTGGGACTCCAGAGGCAAATGATGGGTACCGGCAGGCCAAGCAGAATGCGGCCCGGGTGGTCACAGAGGCAAAAACCCCGATGTGGGAGGAGTTCAGTGAGACCATGGAGCAAGAATTCCATATGGTTTTGAGGAAAATTTGGTCCACCATTCAGCGCCTCTAAACAACACTATTTATAGTGGGGATGGTGTGCTGCTGACCTCAACTTGGGGCGTTGTGGTTAGGTGGGCGGAGTACATCAAAGGCCTCAATCCCACTGGCACGTCTTCCAGTGAGGAAGCAGAGGCCGGGGACTTTGGGCTGGGCTCTCCTATCTCTGGTGCTGCCCAGAGTTCCACTGGATTGGTAGACCAGGGTGGTGATTCCTCTATTTAAAAAAGGGGGACAGCAGGGTGTGTTCCAACTACGCGGGATCACACTCCCTGGTAAAGTCTAATCCGGGATTCTGGAGAGGAGGATACGGCGGATTGTCAAACCTCAGATTCAGGACGAACAATGTGGTTTTCGTCCTGGCTGTGGAACACTGGACCAGCTCTATACCCTTAGGGGGATCCTTGAGGAGTTTGCCCAAAAAATCTACACGTGTTTTCTTGATTTGGCAACACAAAAAAATTTCATTCAAATATGTTTTATCTGCTGTGACCATTAATCCTCTCAGAACCCATTAAAACCTGGATGGTGGGAGCTTTCTACAGCTGAATGAAGATGAGACTGAGATCCTCATCTGTGCCCCAGCCAAGCTGGTTCCCAAAGTCAGAGACTCTCTTGGTCAGCTTGCTTCTCACACTGTCTCACAAAAGTTCGAAGTAAAGCTCTGTTGCTGCTGTCTGTGTCCTCTGCTCAGAGACCAGCCTCAGCTCCCCACCCAGATCAGAAAGCACTAACTACTCTATTTGCGTGGATTTCTGATGTGTGTTGGAAGCCAACTTCACTCAGCTTGGCTTAGTGCTTCACTGCTCAAAACCTTTTTGAATTTTAGTCGTCTAAAACTGACTAAGACTAACTTAGATGTCCGCCAAAACAACAGTGATTTCAATTCAAGTCGAGTTTTATTTATACAGCCCATATATATGGCAACAGCCATTACCCCAAAGTGCTGAACATTGACATAAAAAAGCATTAATAACATAAAAGCTGTCCGGAAATTACAAGAACAAAAATAAAATCTCAGACAACCAAGATGAAATGCAAGTAATAGGAATATAAAACATCAATGAGATTAAAAGCAGAAAACAAAACCGAAAGCCTTAACCCTTACCACTTGGTTGTCTTTGCAATGCCAAAGCAGACAGATGCGTTTTCAGACGTACTTTGAAAGAGCCCAAGGAATCAGCTGTCTTTGCATCCAGGGTACACGGTTCCAAAGGATGGGAGCCATCACGAAGAAGGCTCTAGCAACCTTAGTTTATAGCCGAAATCTGCATGTCATTAGTAGATGGAGATCTGCCGATCTAGCATCCTGGACGGGACACGTGATTCAATCAGGCTGCACAGATTTGAGGGAGCCAAACCATGCAGACATTTAAAAACTAGCAGCAATATCTTAAAATCAATCCTGAACTCATCAGGAAGCCAGTGAAGATTTGCTAATACAGGGGTGATATGATCTTGTTTCCAGATCCTGGTTTTGGTCTATAGGGCCTTACATGGACAAGCACCATCTTACATTGGTGATCTTCTTAGTTCCTACACCCCCAGCAGGTCCCTGAGGTCCAGTGATCAAAGCCTACTGGTTGTGCAGCACCAGGCTAAAGGTCAAAGGGGACAGATCATTTGCTTCTGTGGCCCCCAGACTCTGGAACTCTCTCCCCCTGAGCCTAAGATCAGTGGACTCCGTGGTCTCCTTTAAAAAGCAGCTGAACACTCACTTGTTCAGGCTTTGTTGTGACCTACAGAATCCTGAGCATCTTCTAACCTCAGTTGTTGCAAGAAATGAAGAGAGATGACTGTGAACTTTCTCATAAAGTCCAGCAGTATGGTTATATCCTGGTGCACTCTTGAGTATTCGTAATCTCCCATTGTCTCCACACTCGCCCACTGATTAAAATTACAGGAGTCAATGGCGTTGTAGCCATCATGTTGCCACAGAACCTCTGAAAGCAGCAGATGCCTTTTACAGTGGCTGGAGTCTGGTGATCTTGCATTGCCTTCTGCTGATGATGGGTTTGAATGCACTGGGACATGTAGACATGGCTTAGCATAATCCTGCTGATCTGAAGGGACTGGCCTGGATATCGTTGATCTAAAATGGTACTCTCCAGTGTCTGACTCTATTTTATTTGACTAGGAAAGTACTCGTCTGTCCTCTGTGGTGCAACTGAATGTACAGAAACTCAAATGTTTGTTGAACAAACTTGCATTTACTTTTCTTGGTTTTCATTATGTATAAATGCAGCAAAATACACAAGATTATTATTATTATTATTATTAGATATTTATTTATTTATATTTATTATATTAGCTTATTTTTATTATTATTATAGTATTCTGGAAATTAACTCTGCTCAAAAATAGCTTAGCTAAGCTTGAAGGGATGGAAAAGGTGTTCTAGCAGCCCCATGGCTAAAAGTTGGGAGTGCACAATCTCTACTCCCCATTTACAGCAACTCCTGTTGTTTTGGCTGTCTTGGTTTTCAGTGATCTCCTGTTCTCATGATGAGTCAGAGAAGACATCTCTATATTGTCTCTTATCTGCTTCTACTTTTCACCCTAAGCATGTTTTAAACTAAGCCTCTTCTTATTCACTCTACCTCTTCCTCCTTAATGGACTTTTGTCAAGATTTCAGCAAGAATTTTTGTTCTTAATTGATAATGGGACAACACTCAGATGAATGATGGCTTCTGGCAAACTAAAGTCATGCCACATGTGGTAGTTCTCCTAATGAGGATGAGGAATCAAGTTACTCATGAATGAGTTACTAAAGCCATAACATGAACAGTGATGGGCTGCTAGCTAGCTGGCACGTGTTCTCTCAGTAACGGAGTGTAACTGAATGTTTCACTGAAATTCATACATTTTGTGAGTTTAAAACTGTTTTAGTTTGTGCTAATTCACAACCAAAGTCATCTTGAAGATGTAAACTAGTTTCTCTTAAATCCATTAAAGATCTATTGATCTCTATAAAGAGAAACTTGTTATTTTCTTTCACTTCCTTCCAGAAGACTCCATCTCTGGACCGCCACAGTCACCGTGCTCCCTCAGTGGCAGAATCCATGGCGGAGTATTATGATGCCAGTGAGGTCATTGTATGTGAGACCTCATCAGATGCTGAAGCTTCAGATGAGTCTGGTCTGAGTGACATCACTACTACTAGCAACTCTGAGCCTGAAGAAGGACCCAGTAAGGATTTGTCTACCCTAGCATTCGCAGAAATAACCTAAACACTTGTGGATGTTTCATTTTACAAGTAGAACTGTGTGTGTGTGCGTGTGTGTGTGTGTAGCTGCCGCAACTGTCAGCTATAGAGCAAGTCTAAACAGTGCACCTGAAAAGCCCACCCCAGTGCGCACCGATACTGGTAATGCAACACAGCGGGTTCATTTAGTCCAGTTTAAACAACGTAATACCAAAACATTTTAAAATGATGTTCTAGGTCTGTTTGATCTTTTTTTTTTTTCTTTGTGACCCAGGTCGCCGTAAGACTCTCCCTGCCCCAGGAGCAGACAACAGCCATATTGGAATTATGACCATCCTGTACAATAACATTGGCAAAGACCTATCTAGAGTCTCAATGCCAGCAGTTCTCAATGAGCCTCTGTGCTTGCTTCAGAGACTCAGTGAAGAACTGGAGTATCCCGAGCTGCTGGACATAGCCAATCACACTGACGATCCGTATGAGAGAATGGTGAGTTTGTTTCCTATCTGACTCAGATTAAAGTCATCAGAGATGAGGGGCAGTTAATGATGTTGGAAATGTCGGGGTTGTTTGCAGGTTTATGTCGCGGCCTTTTCCATCTCTGGTTATGCGTGGGCATCCTGGAGAAATCGCTACAAACCCTTCAACCCTGTTCTGGGAGAAACGTATGAAAATCACAGAGAAGACAGAGGATTTCGTTTTATAAGTGAACAGGTAACCATCTGTGGAAAAGTCACAGGTTTCTGATCTGCTGAAGGAAGTACTCCAGTTTTGTTTCATATTTTTCAGGTCAGTCATCACCCACCCATCTCTGCCTGCCATGCAGAGTCTGAAAATTTCACTTTCTGGCAAGGTAAGAGTATTAGCTGTGTTCTGATATTATCCATGTTTTGGTGGATAGAATCCATGATTTGTCTGCTTTTTAGATCAGAGATGGAAGAACAAGTTTTGGGGGAAGTCTGTGGAGATCATTTCTACTGGACTGGTCAATGTTACCCTTCCCAAGTGAGTCAGACTTTCACCCACATGTTTAGCTGTACTCTGATCTATGATTCTATCTGCAAGTAAAGGTGGCTAATCAGATTTTCCAGCAATATAAAATAATTTCAGTTGGTATAACTAAATTGGTATAACTAAATTGGTATAACTAAATTGGTATAACTAAATTGGTATAACTAAATAGGTTGGATGCAAGAAAGTTTCCATTTTTTAAATTCTTTTTTTGGAGCTAATCCATTAATATACCTTCAACGGTAATGTGATTTGACTATAGTGGGTGATGGTGGCACAGGAGTTAAGCGCTCGCCCCATAATCAGAAGGTTGCAGGTTCGAGCCCCGCTCAGTCTGTCGCTGTCGTTGTGTCCTTGAGCAAGACACTAAACCCCCTTTGCCTGCTGGTGGTGTTCGGAGGGACCGGTGGAGCCTGTCTACAGCAGACTCGCCTCAGTCAGTGCGCCCCAGGGCAGCTGTGGCTACAATGTAGCTCATCACCATCAGGGTGTGAATGTGTGTGTGTGAATGGGTGAGTGACTGATTGTGTTGTAAAGTGCCTTGGGGGGGTCCCAGGACTCTAGAAGGTGCTATATCAAATACAGGCCATTTACCATCGACTCTTATAAACAAAGAAATGTGAAAGTAAAATAAGTTTTAGGATGCACCATAAACATCAGGTTCATCAAAAATTTGAAAAGGTATATGTCTTGAGAGAGGAGTTGTACCATCAGGTGACCACAGGGAAGCATACTTCCTCTGGCCCTCAGTAGAGCATTGTGATGAAATGTTGATGAACCAGCTTCTGGGACTGACCAGTCATGACCATGAAGTGGCTGGTCACTCACATTTCTGTCAGAGAGCTGGGAACATTTAGCCAACCATACGCCATTGGTTGCAATTGTGCAGCTGGAATAGAATTACAAGACGGCTAGATGGCAAGCTACCAGCCAGACACGCTAATGGCTAATGTTTGTGTAGCTGTTGCCTCTTACTGCAGCTAACGGGTAGGACATTTAAAAAAAGTTGGGCATTTTGACATAATGTAGCGTGGTTAAACTACATACTAGAATTAACGCTGTTTGCTATCAGCTTTGTTAGATTCTGAAGATCAAACGAGTTATCAAATAAAGCTTCTATCATATAAAAATATCTAGGATATTAATATACTCGATAGAAGTTCATACGCCAACGAGCTTGGTCTATGTTCAATCCAAAGATTAATTTTTAATTCAAGACAATTAAATTTTAGCAAAAGTTTATTTATTGAATCAGAAGCTTAAAGGGATATTTGCTTATTCAATAACCAAATATACCATTCTGTGTTTTATTTCAAAGAAGTCAGGTTTCAAAAGATAAGAATTTATTACTAACAATTTTTTAAGATGAAAATTTGAAAAATGACCATTTATAACAGCTTGATATTAAAACTTGTTATGAAAAGCAAACCTGTGTCTGAATGAAAAGCTAAAATGAAATGCCAGGTTTGGATGCGTGAATGAATCTCAGAAGATTTCTTTCAGAGAGAGAAAGCGTTCTGGGTGAAAACGTTGGTTTGCAGCTAACTGATGTTTCTTAGAGAGAACAGCATCAGACGCCATCTGTCAGGAAGTCTACCTCACCCAGTTCAGGAGACCCTCTGTGGATGTGACATGTCAGGTGGAGATGATGTCCTCCGGGCACGAGGTTGGTAGAGGGACCTCGGTGCAACTCAATCGGTCCTGAGATGTCTCCGTGGGTCACAACGACTGATGAAACTATTTGAGTCTCAAAATCAATAACTCTGAAGGAGTTTTTGCGTCAGCTGGTTACAGGTGCGTCTATTCGGAGCAATTCTATCGGCATGACAGAACAGCTTAGTAGAGGCTTGGGCGGCCGACCCTCGTCCTCTGGTGGGTTCAAGAACTGAACTTGAGCTGCGGAGATTTGGTTTTAACAGAACTTCAGAACACGCCCTCTTAGCGTCAGTAAGCTCGTTGTTATGGAGCAAAGACATGTGAGGTGGTTTAACTTTACCCTGGATCCGGTCCTGCATGAGGTTTACACGTACCAATGACCTTCTGGTTACTGATCACACATTACTGATTATCATAAATAATAATAATTATTAACTCAAAGAATAATAAGTCATTTCAGTAATTAAATACATTTATACTGAACCAAGATGATTATTTATGATGATTGTAATAAACAGTAAAAGCAGTTTATTTAAAATTATTGTTTTAAAATCTTGAAGTGTCCTTCATCTTGGGACGGAACAGCAGCTAGATAAAGATGGTGATTAGCAGACATCCCGGCTCCTGATGGATAAACTGTGGAACAAAAACAGCTCGACCCAGCTGGGAAAGTGTAGCCTTTGGGTCACAAATATGAGGTCATTCATGTCACTACACTCTTACTGCAGCTAACGGGTAGGACATTTAAAAAATTTGGAATTTTTTACTTAAAGAAAACCACTGATCTGGGTTATGTCCTGAACCAGTTCCAGCTGCTTGAGCAGCAGGATATCAAAACTTTAAAATCCCAGACTAGAGCAAGATCAATGCACACCACCACCACCAGCAGCACCACCACCACCACCACCAGCAGCACCACCACCACCAGCAGCAGCAGCACCACCACCACCAGCAGCACCACCACCACCAGCAGCAGCACCACCACCACCACCACCAGCAGCAGCAGCAGCAGAGTCTGCTTTTTCCAGTGTCATGCCAGGACATTTTCATTCGTTCTGAGCAATGGACGTCTATTTAATGAATATTTAAAAAAAAAAATTTAAAGCTGCTAAAATTTTCACTGATAGTTTTTGTCAATTTTATATTGCTTAATTTATTGTTTATTATTTATTTATTGCTCATTCTGACAAAAGGCATAAGTAAAATGTGTAAGATTTGGTCCTCCAATCAGCCTGTTAGCCCTTCTCTCAGGCCCTCTTGTCTGATGATGGTTAGCCTGTAAATAAGGATGTCTGATAATATTGGTCTACCATTAATAACGGCTGATATCCGCATTAAAACGTAATATCAGAAGATATCTGTTTTCAGGCTTTTAACGACACAACTTTTACACACATCAAACTTCAGCTATTTCTCAAAATGTCAAAATACAACAGATGTGAGGACAATTTTGAGATATTTTAGTTTATTTGGCACAACTTGTGAAGCAGAAATGTACCCTGTGCATTGAACGTATGCGGTCTTATCAGCACGTAGCTACTTGTAGCTATCCAGCTAACAAATGACTAAAACCAAATCAAGAATATTCACCCAAGGCTCGTTTTTCTTACCTGAAGATATTTCTAAATGTTTTATCATCATAACTGCAAAATACAGAAAGACATCTAGACAATACATGACTAACCATGAAGGTCCTGGAGAGACTTGTCTTAGCTCAGCTGAGGCCACGGGTGAGGATGTCTCAGGATCCCCTGCAATTTCCTCAGGAGTTGATGAGGCCATCATTTACCCACGGTAGTGAGCCCTTTTGCATCTGGATGGTGGTGAGGCACTGTGAGGATCACATTCTTTGATTTCTCCAGTGCTTTCAACACTATTCAGCCTTTGCTGCTGGATGAGAAGCTGCGGGGGATGGGTGTTGGTGACACATGGACCTCGGACTGCAGACTGCCCGACTGGCAGGCCACCTTTTGTCCACCTTGGAGACAACCTGTCTGCTGTGGTGGTCAGTGATGCAGGATCTCCACAGGAAACTGTGCTTTTGCCTTTCCTCCATCTTTTACACCACTGACTTTCAGAACCACTCTGAGTCACGTCACCTGCAGAAGTTTTCTGATGACTTGGCTGTTGTGGGGTGTATAAGTGAGGGAGAAAAGGATGAGTACAGAGCACTAGTGGATAACTTTGTGGAGAGGTCTGAGCAGAATCACCTGAGGCTGAATATCAGTAAAACCAGAGAGATGTTGATTGACTTCAGGAAGAAGAAGACACCTTCACAGCCACTACAGATCAGGGGGAGGACTTCAGGTATTTGGGTGTTGTGATCAGCAATGGAATTGATTGGAATTCGAAAACAGAGGTTGTATACAAGAAGGGAATGAGCCGACTCTATATTCCGAGGAAGCTGAGATCCTTCAACGTGTGCAGAAAGATGTTGGAGATCTTTTACCAGTCTGTTGTTGCCAGGCACCATCTTCTTTGCCTTTGTGTGTTGGGGCAGTAGCATCAGAGCCAGCGACACTAACATTCCTAATATGATCATTAAGAAGGCTGGCTCTACTTGGTTTCAGACTGGACACCTTGGAGACTGTGGTGGAGATGAGGATGCTGAATGAACTTTGATCTATCATGGACAATGACCAGTACCCCCTCCATCACACAGTAGACAGACACCTTCTCACGCAGGCTGTTACAGCTCCGCTGTCGAAGGGAGACAGGAAGTCTTTCCTACAATATGCCATCACATTGTACCATAGCAACACCTAAACTCTGGGTCATAATATACAGTTGAAATGCTTTGCATAGTTTATACATTTTGGCCATTTTATATTGCTTTTGTTTTTAACCGTCTTGATGTGAGTGATGCTGCTGCTACACTGAGTTTTCTTAATGAAAGCACAGCTAGCAATTTTTCCGCTGCCTTTGATCCACCCTGTTCTTCTGATAACGACCCAGATTCCTTAACTTCTCAGTTTAATGAGCACTGCCTCTCCATTCTGGACAACATCTGTCCTGTCAGAACCAGATCAGTTCATGCAGTGAACCCTACTCCCTGGTTTAATGACAGCCTTCGCAGCCTGAAGCGCCAACGCAGAAAAATTGAGCATTTGTGGAAGAAAACCCGTCTCCACGTCCATCTGCTGCACCTAAAGGATCTTCTGTCATCCTTTAACTCTGCAGTCAGAGACGTGAGGGTTTCCTATTTCTCCAACCTGGTGTCCCAGAGCAAAGGGAACCCCAAGGTGCTGTTTAACACCATCAGCAGCATCGTCTCTCCTGCCTCTCCTACAGCATCCATCCACTCTGTTACAGACTGTGAGAACTTTCTGTCTTTCTTTGTGGACAAAGTCAATAAGGTTAGATCTAGCATCTCTCCTTCAGCCTTATCGCCGCCTCTCCCGACTCCAACCAGACCCATCATCCTAGATAGCTTTGCTCCGGTTTCATAGTTAACTCTATGAAGACATCTGCATGCCCCCTCGACATCTTACCCTCATCTTTGTTTAAAAGTGCTTTTCTGTCCATCGGTCCCAGCGTGCTCTCTATAATTAATGCTTCTCTGGTTTCTGGTCAGGTCCCTGCTTACTTTAAGAATGCTGTAATCCACCCGCTTCTTAAAAATCGAGTCTCGACCCCTCTCTCCATAGCAGCTTCAGACCCATCTCTAAACTTCCGTTCATCTCCAAGATCTTGGAAAAGGTTGTGGCTAAACAACTCACAGCTGCTCTTGATGAACATAACATCTATGATAGCTTCCAGTCAGGTTTTCGTAGAGCTCATTCTACTGAAACAGCTCTTCTTAGGGTCTCTAATGACCTTCTGACTCACAGTGATGCAGGGGACTGTTCTGTTCTGGTCCTGCTGGACCTGACTGCAGCCGTTGACACTGTTGACCATCACCTGCTACTGGAGAGGCTGAGAGACTGGGTAGGCTTATCAGGAACTGCTCTGGAGTGGTTCTCCTCTTATCTCTCTGAGCGCTCCTTTTCTGTGGCCGTCCCCAAGTTTAGGTCCTCCACCACCTCTCTTACCCATGGTGTCCCACAAGGTTCTGTGCTGGGGCCTCTGCTCTTCCTCCTCTATCTGCTTCCTCTTCCGCACATCCTGAGCTCCTTCAAAGGACTCTCCTACCATCTTTATGCAGATGACATCCAACTGTACATCTTCTTCAAGCCCCATGAGATGTCTAAGCTGCAGCTGTTACACACCTGCTTAGACTCTATCATAACCTGGATGGTGGGAGCTTTCTTCAGCTGAATGAAGATAAGACTGAGATCCTCATCTGTGCCCCAGACAAGCTGGTTCCCAAAGTCAGAGACTCTCTTGGTCAGCTTGCTTCTCACACCAAACCTTCTGTCAGGAATCTTGGCATGACCTTTGACCCAGCTCTCACCCTGGACTCTCGTGTCAGTTCTCTTGTTGGCTCTTCCTTCTTCCATCTCAGGAACATTGCTAAGCTGAGTCCCATTCTGTCCCACTCTGAAATTGAAACTGTCCTCCACACCTTCATCTCCTCATGCTTAGACTACTGTAACTCTCTTTTCACGTGTCTGAGTAGAACCTCCCTGAACGTCTACAGGCGGTTCAGAACGCCTGTGCTCGGCTTCTGACCAAGTCCTCCAAACACACCCACATCACCCCGCTTCTCCTCCAGCTTCACTGGCTGCCAGTCAACGTCAGGGTTCATTTCAAGATCCTGGTTCTGGTCTATAGGGCCTTACATGGACAAGCACCATCTTACATTGGTGATCTTCTTAGTCCCTACACCCCCAGCAGGTCCCTGAGGTCCAGTGATCAAAGCCTACTGGTTGTGCAGCACCAGGCTAAAGACCAAAGGTGACAGATCATTTGCTGCTGTGGCCCCCAGACTCTGGAACTCTCTCCCCATGAGCCTGAAATCAGTGGACTCAGTGGTCTCCTTTAAGAAGCAGCTGAAGACTCACTTGTTCAAGCTGGCTTTTGTATGACCTTCTTCACCACTCTTTATTCTGCTCTCCCCACCTATTCCACCTTCCTCAGGATCCACTGATTTCCCTCTTTCCTGTTCACTCTCTCTTAACATTTTTTCTTTTAAATCCCAATTGCCTATTTTTGCTCATATATATTTTTTTTAAACATTTTCTAAATGCTTTTTTATATTTTTTACATTTTTTTGTTTTTGTGAAGCGCCTAGTGATTTTTATCTTTATAGGCGCTACAGAAATGATATTTTCTTCTTCTTCACTGCAATTTCCCAGCCTGGGATAAAAAAGTACATCTATCTGTATAAAACACACACCTTAGCTTCACGCTTGGGGGGGAATGAGATTCAGCTGCTGTTGGAGACCAAATTAACATGGCGCTTTTCCTGTTACTGACTTAGATTGAAGTATTTGTCGTTTAGCACAGAACATGTTTAAAATGTCAGCCTGTATGGTAGCAGATATGTGATGTTGGTGACGTAACATGTTAAAGTTTATCTATTTTCATGAGGCGGGGGCTCTGCATATGTTGGTTTATCGAATACCGACCATCTCTACCTGTAACAAAATTATTTTATAGCACACATCAATAAAGTTCCTCTAAAATAGAGAAACAAAAACTAAGCATTTTGAGCAACACATCACTGATCTTACTTTAAATGTCTGCAGTTATGGTGATCACTACGAATGGAACAAGGCAGTGACATGCATCCACAGTGTGTTGAGTCAACAGCGCTGGCTGGAGCATTATGGGGAGGTGGTCATCAAAAATACCAAGAGTGACATGTGCACCTGCAAGATGACCTTTGTCAAGGTAAAGACGTGCTCATGAGCACAATTTTCTGTTTGATTTTGCCACCATCTCTTCTAGCTATCACTACCATGTGGCCTGTTTCATTCAGTCTCGTTACTGGAGCTCTGAAAGTGGAAAGAATGAGGTCCAGGGGGCTGTTCTGAACCGGGCTGGAGAGGTGGTTCATCGTTTTGGAGGCTTCTGGCATGAAGGCATCTTCTGTGACACGCTGCCAACACCGAAGTGTCTCTGGAAGCCAAGTAAGGAACTTGGCCTTGAGCTCTTTGAGTCTGTAGTTAGAGCACATTAAAATGTAACCAGCTGACAGTTTATTTTGCTAGCAGGTCATTTTAGTTCCTTTCTCTTGAAGTGATAACCCACCCCTAAGTTAAACTTGGTCTGTGACCATATTCCCCAGAGTTAGATAAGTGTTAGATAAGTTGTAACCAGCCCCGTCATTCTCATAATCTGAGTATGGTGTTAGCATTATCTTAGCATTAGTGACCTCAATAATCATATCGACTGCAAATGACAATGAGTAACACAAAGGAGTTACACGAGCCAATTTAGCCTCGAGACTTCATGACAAAGCAACACTGTTAGCCACCACTGCAAGGTGCAACGACCTGATGCATTCGCCCCAAAACACACCTACTTCATCCGTCATAAACTCTGCCATTTTTAGATCAACTCACTTTTCAGTTCCTTCCAAACCGGTACCAAGTTTGAGCCTATTAGCCACGCATTTGTGGCTTTAAATTTGAATGACTGAAATACTAGCTGTTACCATTCATTTACATTGTTTATGCTAACCCATTATGCCTGGAGGACATGGTCACTAGGGTGGAATATCTATTTAATGAACCATGAACTGATCTCAACTGGAAAAAAACCTACTAGACTGAAACTTATTCTACAAGTTTTAGAGTTTAATTTATACTCCGTAATAATGATGAGACAATTATCATTGTTGTTATCTTTCATCTGTGTTCAGATCCTCAGCCTGATGACCACTTTGAGTTCTACGGTTTCTCACAGTATGCCAGAGAACTGAATGAACTGACTGCAGAGCTGAAAGATGTCCTTCCACCCACAGACACGCGTTTCAGACCAGACCAGAGGTATTAACAAATGATTTAGCCAGAGAGCTGCAACACCTTCCTGTGTTCGCTGCAGAGTGTTCATTACGATCCCTTACTCCATCCATTAGGCTCCTAGAGGAAGGGAAAGTGATGGAGGCAGACAAAAAGAAGGATGAAATAGAGGAGAAACAGAGGGAGAGGAGAAAGGAGATAGCCAGAAGAGGAGAGGAGCACATCCCAAGATTTTTCAGGTAACGAAACAGCAGTTGACTTGACAGCTAATGATCATTATGAACTTCACCTGCTATAGGAGAGAGGGTGATTTCTGACTAAATGCAAGTGTCAATCAGAATCAGAATCAGAAGGGTTTTATTGCCATATGAGCGAGAATCACAACGTTAGGAACTGTTGCAGTACTTGGTGCAAGAAAAATAAATGATTAACCAAAGTTGTATTTAAAAAATAAATACAATGAAATGATGATTTCATAGAGAGGTAATAACTAGAGAAGAGGCTACTAAATACAAGTCAGTGTAGGTACTGGTCGGAGCGGATCAGTTCAGGTGCAAACACAACAGTGTCATGTGACTGAATCAAAGCATTTGGATTGGGCAGTTCTACGACTGACATTCATGAATCTAACTGCAGAGGAGAAGAAACTGTTGTTGTGGTGAGAGGTTATGGTCCAAATGGATGGGAACCTCCTGCCAGATGGGAGCGAGTCAAAGAGTCATCCCATCCAGGGTGACAAGGGTCAGCTGTGATCTGACCTGCACGCCTCAATGTCCTGTTGGTGTACAGAGCCCAGTGGCGGTTTTAATATTAGGCATAGGTCGGCGGCTGCCTGGGGCCCCCTTATGTTGGGGGGCCCCTAGCCCTAGCACCCCTCTGTTAATGCCACAATGGACTATTCCTTTAAGATGCTGATGCACAAACAGGAAGCGAATGGTGGTCATTCCACCCCAATCCAGTTGGTGTTGGTAATGCACCAAATAGTTGTTTGCCAAGTGCCATTAGACCACAAATAATAATAATAATAATAACAATAATAATAATAATAATAATAATAAGAGAGGCGCGAGCGTTCGTAATAAACTCAAAGCGATAGTCAAAACATGAAGCATGAAATGGAGTTATCCTAGTGGCTCCAATAAGAGAAAGAAGCAGCATGCTTCATAAAAGCTTTTATTTTCACTTCTGAAAGTGACGTCGTTTTTCTATGTAAACATCACCCTCACGCCTTCATCACCCTCTCCTTGTTCTGCTCTCCCTACCTATTCCACCTTCCTCAGGATCCACTGATTTCCCTCTTTCCTATTCACTCACTTTCTTTCTTTACATTTTTAATCACAATTGTCTATTTTTTGCTCATTTTAAATATAGTTTTAATCATTTTCCAAAGTCGTCTTCGTCCGCTTATCTGGGTCAGGGTCGCGGGGGGCAGCATCCCAACTAGGGATCCAGACCGTCCTCTCCCCAGCCACCTCCACCAGCTCCTCCGGCAGGACCCCAAGGCGTTCCCGGACCAGATTGGAGATGTAACCTCTCCAACGTGTCCTGGGTCGACCCGGGGGCCTTCTGCCGGCAGGACATGCCCGAAACACCTCCCCAGGGAGGCGTCCAGGAGGCATCCTGACCAGATGCCCAAACCACCTCAACTGACTCCTTTCGATCCGGAGGAGCAGCGGTTCTACTCCGAGTCCCTCCCGAATGTCCGAGCTCCTCACCCTATCTCTAAGAATGAGCCCGGCCACCCTACGGAGGAAACTCATTTTGGCCGCTTGTATCTGCGTTCTCGTTCTTTCGGTCATTAAAAGCTCATCTTTTTTATATTTTCACATTTTTTGTTTTTGTGAAGCGCCTCGTGATATTTATCTTGAGAGGCGTTATAGAAAAGATCTCTTCAAAATAATAATAATAATAATAATAATAATAATAATAATAATAATAATAATAATAATAATAATAATAAAGCAGAAAGGAAAGACTATAGAAAATGTTTAAAGGGAGGAAAACATAGACCAAAACGGAAAATAAAAACAATTAAAATAAAGGCAAAAACACAGGAGCACTGACAGGAAGAAGACAGCAGAGCATTTATTGAAAGCGCTCAAAGGGAGAGAAAAACAGGAAAAAAGAGGAGGACTAATAAAAAGTGAAAATAACTCATGTCAGAAGAGGGGAGAGTTTCGCAAATCCAGTTATAGATTGTCGAAAATTTAGTGTAAGGGGGCCCATGTCTGTGTTCGCCTTGGGACGCCAGATAGTTAAATCCGCCACTGACGGAGCCTGTAGGGAGGAGATTTTGCAGCCAATGACCTTCTCAGCAGAGCGCATGACACGCTGCAGTCTCTTCGTATCCCTGATGGTAGCTCCAGTGTACCACACGGTGATTGAAGAGGTGAGCATGGACTCGATGACTGCGGTGTAGAACTGCCTCATCGACTGTACTGGCAGGTTGAATTTCTTCAGCTGCCGCAGGAAGTACATCCGCCGCTGGAACTTATTTCTGATGGAGGTGATGGTGGTGCCCAAGAAGCAACATGAGTCCACCATAGTTAAAGTGTCAAACCGGGATATGGGGGAGTGGAGCTATGTGCTTCCTAAAGTCCACAAAAACCTCGGCTGTATTGTCTGCTTTTAGCACCAGGTTGTTGTGGCTGCACCAGGACACCAGCCATTCGACCTCCCTCCTGTAGGCAGACATTCCCATCCAAGATGAGTTTGACGGTGGTGTTGTATGCAAACTTGATAAGCTTGACAGACTCATGGTTGGAGGTGCAGCTGCTGGAGTAAAGGGAGGAGAGCAGAGAGGAGAGAACACAACCCTGAGGGGAATTGGTGCTGATGGTCCACAGGCCAGAAACATTCTTCTCCAGCCTCATTTGCTGCTTCCTGTTTGTCAGAAAGTCCATGATTCACCTGCAGATGGGGTCAGGAACGTTCATCTGGGACAGTTTATTTTGTAGGAAGTCTGGAAGCATTGTGATTAAGGCAGAGCTGAAGTCTGCAAACAGGATGCTGGTGTAGGTTCCCAGGGAGCCCAGATGCTGCAGGATGAAGTAAAGAGCCATGTTGATGGCGTCAACTACAGACATGTTGGCTCTGTAGACGAACTACAGGGGGTCCAGGAGAGGGCCTGTGAAAGTCTAAGTTATAGTCCCAGTAGTTGTCACACACACTGATGTGTGTGTGAATTTTGTTCTCTGCATGTGACCCATCCCCTGGGAGAGTGGTGAGCTGCACACATAGCCTCGCTCCGGATCCATTTGGTGGTTTAACCCCCCAATCCAACCCTTTAATGTTGAGTGTCAAGCAGGGAGGCATGGTATTTGGTATGACGCAACCAGGAATTGAGCCCTGATCTCCCAGTCTCAGGGTGGCCACTCTACCACTAGGCCACTAAGCTGGTGTCTTCAAGTGGGGCAGAACCAGGTGCTCAAATGACTTCATGACCACAGATGTCAGTGCCGCAGGCCGTTGGGTCCAGTTACCCTTGGCTTCTTGGGGTAAGGTACTTGAGAGGAGTTGAAAATGCCCGTAAACCCTTGGGTCAGCTCTTCAGCACAGTGCTTTAGAGTGGCAGGAGATGCACCATGCATTTATGGCGCTTATTCATTAGCGTCAGCACGGCCGCAAAAGGTACCAAACGGCCCCGGAATTTGGTTTCACACACAGGTCATGTTTGCGTTTTCGGTGCCAAGGCGACTCTTTTTCTCAGACCTTCTCCTCAGCGGTCAGACTGGGACCGAGGCCACACTACGGACTGATTGGCCGGCTGAAATTAAACCTACCACCTTCGATCCGCAAGAAGAATGAGCCAGTGGGGGGGGTTCCCGCATGCGTGATTTATGCACACTGTGTGTCATCAAACCCAACCAAATCTGTTTGTAAACAAAACTGGAAGACTAGGACATGAATTACATGCAAGCACACACCAATACACTTGAACACTATCATAACTTGAGCCAGAGGACAGAGGAAGTGTGAAGAAAAATCAGAAGATAGCAGGTTCAATCCTGGCAGATAATTCTTCTGTTGTGTCCTTGGGCAAGACATTTAACCCTCCCTGCCTGCTGGTGGTGGTCGGAGAGACATGAAAGGAGCCATGCGGGTCATTTGTCACAAAGCAAGAACTAATATGAAATCAAAGTGTGTTTCTGTTCTTGGTGTGAAATTATGAAATTAGTTAAATGATGACTTGAAGAAATGAAATTACTTCATAAAGTTTAAAGCACATGTTAGGTGTCAGTACTTAATGAATATGAAAAGTGTGTGTAAAACACTAATGAATGTTTGTGTTTGCTTGAAAAAGTTAAATATTGAAATTGGGGATGTCCCGATCTGACAACATGATCGGAAATCGGCCCCGATCACGTGGTTTCAGACTGATCGGGACTCGGGCTTTACTTCCCGATCCAAGCCCCGATCCGGAGTCGGATACTGGGTTCAAATTACAGGAGAGCAACTTGGTTCTCCTTAAAGGTTGTCAGGCTCCATTGATGCCCTTAACTTACACACCCAGAAGGAGCACAAAAGAGATCCCGTGATATTATATTATTTATATGGACTCAGCGTAGCGGGGATTCTTTTGAGCAGAGCGGCAGGCAGACCGCTGATTATTCATGAACTCCAGCTGCGTTCTGCATGCGGCCACAGTAACATTTTCTATGTTTCTAAGTGGCGTCACCAAAACTATATAATTAACACACAGTCATTCGTGTCCGTTCATTTTCTCTCTGGTAAGTTCTGTCTGTATTTGAGCATGACGTGTGGACGCGCTCGCGCTGCCGCGCTGAGCGCTGCAGCGCGGCGCACAGTCCGCTTATTTTGCAGTCAATAGATCAATTTGATCTGCTAGTTAAAAAGTTACTTGTGAGGTGAAAAAGAAGGAAGCAGGCAGGAGTTTTTCGGGAGGACTGGGAGATGCAGGAAGATCAGAGACGGACAGGACAGGATGATAGGAAAATAAAAACCAAGAAAACAAAACAAAGTTCTTAAATAAATAAAATGTAGGTAGATTCATCCCACTACACGTTTGTACCTGTTTAAAGCAATAATTTATCAGCATGCAGTATTTATATAGTTGATACAATTCAGATCATCTTCAAAACTCCGTCCCATGCCCAGAGACGTATCTAAGCATTTTGGGGGCCGAGGCTAAATAGACCCCTGCCAGGTATTTTAAGTTGAAGGGCTGTCTGTTTTTATATTAGACTTTTTATATTTGCAATAAAGTCCAAAAGTGAAGAATTTATGTTAATTATTACTTTATTGTTCACGCTACCTCACAGAAGTGATCTGTTGTTAAAAATTAAAATAAAAAGGTAATTAAATAAAAAATAAGGAACTTTCTGGAACTGTTTCTTCCTTTATTTTTTTATGTATCGAAAGTATCGGATCGGGACCCGGTATCGGCAGATTCTCTTAATCAAATGACTCTGATTTGGGGGCAAAAAAACCTGATCGGGACATCCCTAGTTGAAATTGCATATAGCAAACAATAAAAAAGCTTCTAGGGGACCTATTCTAAATGTAAAATTAGGCAGGCTAAAATATTACTTTTTTGATGTTACTTTGTTTATAAAAATTCTGGTGGTGTTGCAACCAAACTAAAGATTTGGACCTCCAATATCGACTTAGGACATCTATAGATGTTGGAACCCCAAACGATCTCACTTGTAATGCCCCCTTTTCAACAGCACAGGTCCCCACCACCACCAGCTGAGCCGTGTCTGGCAAGGAAATGGGCAGAAGCCGTGAAGATGGTGGGGCAGCTTCAATTAGACAATCATGGTCCAAGAAAAGAGAAAATATCCACTTAAATTTACTGACCATGTTCCTTGATTTGGTTCCATATCTTTTCACACTGGAAAATATATTTAGTTCACATATAGTTATTGATTATTATTTTAATTTTCATGTTTACAGAAAAGCACAAGATGAGGCTGGTCGAGAGGTGTGGCTATATAATGGAACCTACTGGAAGATCCGCAAAGATCCAGGCTTTTCTAAGACGGAGAATCTGGACCTGTGGCTGAGTGAATAAAATCAGCTAGATGTTTAGTGTGATCTTGTGCTGTACTCGTTGCATTTGAATCACAATATTGATCTAGTATATATATATATATATATATATATATATATATATATATATATATATATATATATATATATATATATATATATATATATACATACATCCACAGAGCAATTCCAGTGTGCGTGCCATCCATGTCCTTGTTGATGAAGCATAGGGTGTTTGGAGCATGAATGAACCTCATGTGAACTTGTATTTTAGAGGTGAGGTGCCACAATCAAAGAAATGATTCAACAGATCTGCTGCCCTTCCTATTTTTATTTTGTACTTTTTGGCATTTTTCTTGTAATGAAAACTTAAAATATTCAACGTTAAATGTATTATTAATCTGAATTACACTGACAACTATTTAGATGACTAGTGATATCGATCTGATACTCTGGTCCCATTGTATAATTACATATTTGTAGGATGTTTTGTATATTTTCCATGTCTGGGGGATGGGGGTGGGGTTACATTACAGGTGAAACTGCTGCTGTCTTAATCTCGGATCAAACCCTGTTGCAGTAGGTTTTCTTAAGTTTGGTTTTGCACATGGCTACTTAATTTTTCTGTTATAAAAACCTTCCCCTTGCTTGGAGGAGCTGAAAGGCTAGTAATTTTTTTTTTTTTTTACCAGTATGCAGTTTTTACTGAGGAAAATAAAAATTTATGGAGAAAAGGTTATTTACCCATCTAATTAAAAGGTTTTATGGTCAGGATTCTTTGTTTTTTCTATAAGCACCAATGAAGCTCTTTAAAATTTAACACAAATGAGAAAACTTGGGTTTTATAGAGTGGGTATTTTGTAACTATTTGGGCTCACCTGAATGCTACTTGAGTTGTGCAACAGTTCTGTATATGACGATTTGTCCAATTACACACAAATGGGTCAACATCATGACTTCTGTATTTATTCATGTTAAGGCATTTAACGTTCAGAAACATTTTGATTATGTCACACTCCCAGTTGCTAGTTAAAAGATCAAACTGACTCACTGAGTCATCTCCATCCAGGGGACAAATTACACATTCTGGATTCTGGAGGGAGCTCGGTGGGGGTTGATGGCGGGGAGACATGCATTATCCGGCCTACATCAAATGTTGTCGGTACACAACCGCAACTCCTCACCCAGCACCCTAAGTGTCTGCAGCTTAAAATTGGAAGTGGACACTGACACCAGACACAAGATTGAGTGAACAGATCTCCCCCCTTCTGGTGCCATCAAGTGTGCTCACCCCCAAGGCCCTAAGTGTGCATTTGTGTGTCTGCCATTAGTGGAAGTGTTTTAATTGCTATTTAAAAATACGGTGCAGCATGACACAAGACTGCAGAGATGGAAACCATCCCCACACCCCCTCAACTTGTGTGTGTGTGTGTATGGCTGTGATGTGATGTGATGGAGAAGGAAGGGGTAAATGTCTGTGGATGCAGAAAAAGACTGGGTGTGCAAGTTGAGGCTTTCTAGAGGAGCCTGTCACCGTTTTAGGAGAGCCAAAATCCCCTTAGCTCTCCCGTAATTCAAACACTGTCTCCAGCTCTCTCCAAGGAACTTTAGAATGGCTGAGATCACTTGCAATGCAAAGCTGTTTGTTGCTTGAGTAATGCACGTCGTGTCTACATATGTCTGTGGGTTGACTCCCCAGGGTTATTCATTGGTAGTTTCAGCTTGTTAAGCAACAATAGACTGCTACAGTTTATAAGCCAGTGGTGGCTGAATTTTTTTAATTTATTTTTTGGTGGGGTGCATTTACGCCGTTTGTAGATGTTAGATGTGCTAACCACATATCATTACGAGGGGATGCCAAATTACCCTTCTTATGACAGAGACCACGTTTTCTACCTTTACCTTTACACAAGAAAAACTTTGGATCATGTTGCATTGCTGCTACTCAATCAGAAGCAGCTGTTTAAAGCCCAGACTCTCCTTTGTACAACAGCATAAGTACTATTACTCTGCTTGCAAAACTCAAGAAACCCAACAGCAAAACAAAGATAATTTCATGAAATCAAAAGTGTAAATTCTTACCTTTGCTGGTTTTCGGTCATAATAATCCGTGTTATAAAATTTAAAAAACCGTTTGTAATCCAATGTCCCAACATCACACTAACTACATTTACATTGGTACAAGTAATCGGAATGAATGCCCTAGCAGATCAAAAATTCTTGTAAACATCCATCCATTTTCTTCCACTTATCCGGAGTCGGGTCACGGGGGCGGCAGCGTAAGTTGAGAGGTCCAGACTTCCCTCTCCCCAGCTTGGGCCAGCACTTCTGGGGAATCCCAAGGCATTCCCTGGCCAGGTGAGAGACATAGTCCCTCCAGGCTTTTGGAGGATTTTCCATATTTTGAGATTTCTCAAATTTTAAATATTCCCACTTAGATGTCGGAAAATCTATAGAATCGTCATGTTCAATGTTTGAAATAAGACTTTTGATCAGGTTGCAAAATTGTTCTTGTATTAAAAGGGCGGAAACCACAACAACTAAATTATGGTGGTGCAAAAACAGCGTGGTATCTCGGGGGGGGGGGGGGGGGGGGTAGAAACGCCCACCGCACGCGCACACTTCCCCGGGGCCTTTCCCAGAGAGAGAAAGATGCACTATTAAATCTGGAGATAATGAACAATAAATCAAAGAAATTAGCTTCTCCATTTCCAATCATGCTATGTACATTAGAGCTAAGATGAAATGTGAATCTACACTACCAAAAACATCCTTGATTATAGAAGACACACCTGAACCAATGGAAACACCATAAATTTTGAAATAAATCTACTTGTTTGGTTTCTGGAACAGAAATATTCATCTCCCATCGACCGCACGCGCGCGTTTCCCCGCGGGCCTTGCCCAACGCCCCGGTGTTTTTCAAAGCGTTTTCGCGCAGTCTCTGCCCCAGCTGTATGCATGTCCCGACTAAACTTAAAATATTAACTCACAGAGCTCCATGTACGTGAACATAACTAATCTAAATTGTAGCTAACACAGAAACCCCCGCTGGTTGAAAGATGACAAGCGCTAACATAGACATTGCGAAATTGTTACCAATCACAAATAAAGACCTGGTGTGGATGGTTCAAAGAATGGACTAAGTGTCAAGAAATCATGGGTTCGCTCTGGTGGGGCAAGGTATGCAGAATGGAGGTGGAGGACGTTCTCATTACCAAACCCATAGGTTCTATCATTGTATCCGCACCACTTCTGGGGAACATCAAAGGTGCTGTATGTTCGATTTCAATGAGATCGCCCAATCGCGTAATCCATATTCCCATTGTGGTCACGGAAAATGATTTTGTGCTTGTGTGTAGAAATCTGCACTACCACTCCAGTAGAACGGGGCGTGGTTTACATGAGATATTCACAGACTTTGTAACATTGTTTAATGGGAATATGTTATCCCATTCTAATGTGGATGCCACGAGAGAGATCGACGCAAATACACTGATAAGAGAAGTTACTGGGACCACAGAATATTTATTACAAAGAGCCCTATGGTGGGGCTCTTTCTACAATGGTTTGCCCATCCTAATGTATTTGTGCACCTTGGTTGAGACGGAAGACGCAAGGTTGCCGGGTATCATAATGCGCTATAAGCAACTAAAAAACCCAGGTTACCTGTTTACTGTGATCACTAGACAATGCAGATACACAGTGACGTTCACCGGGCAAGGGTTTAAGATCGTAACTGATGATTCTTTACGATTCTACAGTTAGACATCGCGAAATTGTTACCAATTTGGATGTGTCCACATCCAAGTGGATGTGGACACGACTTCTGAATTGTTATTGGACGTACTGGATTTTATGGCAGCATTTAGAGCGCTTCAATTTGTCCAGATGGACACATTTTGTTCACTACTGTGTCAATAATGTTAACACTATATTGTTATGTGCATGGCAAATAAAGAATGAAAGACAACACTCTCGTATTGATCATTTGTATTTACTTGAAGCCAATGGTGATTACAACATATCACATACATTGCATGGTACGACATTTCATTTGCACATTATGGAAACTTTTTTGTACATAAAAGAAAAAAGAACAATTGTGCGGGAATAGATTTCTAATTCAAATGACAAAGAAAAGAATATCTATTTTAAAACATACACAATGTCATCTAATGTGTTTACCACAGATCTATCATGATACACGGGCGTGTATTAGAAAACTGACAAAAAACACCCACATGCCCATCTCAGTCAAAAGGCAAGGGTACTTTGCATTCTTTCGTCAACGTAGGTTTATATCCAAAGGCCCACATGTCAAGTTCCCAGTTCCTTTGAGCTTCCAATCCAACCTCTCTTTTCCACATTTGTTCAGTGGAGCGCGGAGTGCCACATGTCAATGTCCCAGTTCCTTTGAGCTTCCAATAATTCAGCCTCTTGGTCAGCCAATATTTCGTCAGTGGCGCGAGAAACATCTATGCACATGTTGAAGATTTCTTCCAGGAGCGCATTGGATTTCATGTCTTCATAGGTGAACTGCATATACCTGGCGGGTATGTTGTTAAGGAGGGAGCCCGTGGGGATGACCACATGGAGTAATCTCGAGCCCTGTGAAACGCGGATGCTATAATCGTTGGTACACAGGTAACTGGCAAATTTGCTCAGTCTCTGTAAATCAGGAGTGGGGATCCCTGGTCCTCGAGGGCCGGTGGCCTGAATGTCTTTCCTCCAACACTTCTGATTCAGTGGTTGATTCACCTGTTCTGCAACTCATCAAGCTCTGCAGAAGCTTGTTAATCACCTGCTGATTGAAATCAGGTGTGATGATGCAGGGTTGAAACTAAAATATGCTGGATAGCGTCCCTCGATGGACCAGGGTTCCCCACCCGTGCTGTAAATGATAGTCCAGTATTGGTGGCGTGTATGTGACCACTTTGATGGACTCACACTCTTGCGATTCCGTGTACGTAATCTCACTGTTGGACAACTTGCGTCTCCGTGGTCCATGTCTAGTCAAGGATAGCGGTGCGTATGTGACCACTTTGAAGGAATCACACTCTTGCGATTCCATGTACACAGTGCATGGACGTAATTTTCACTTTGGAAGTGTGTGTGTGTGTGTGGGGGGGGGGGGGGGGGCATCTTTACTGTATGCTCTAATGGGAAACAGGCTTCAACACAAACGATTGTTTACCACTTGGTCCTAGAGCAGGGATTCCCTAAGCGTGAGCTGCCGCTAGGAGCTGCGCAAGATGAGAAGTGTAATGGCTGCGGAGCTCAGAGAAGTCTGTCTAATGTCACCATTAGCATTGCCAGAAACTCATTTGTGGGTGGGCCTAAGGAAAAGTAAGTGGGCCCAATAAATGTAATTGAAAACAAGTATATTTAGCTTGTGTGTGTGTGTCCTCCCGATGTGCCCTTGCTTCATAATAATAATCAGGGGTGGACATTAACTTCAAAACCAACCGGCCAGCCGGGCCGGTAACTCTGAATATTTACCGGCCCCACCAAGAATCTACCGGCCCCACTGGTCAGCTGCCAAAACAAGTCAAAATAAAAACGGAACCGTTTTAAATGTAATAAACCTTTATTTTGTACACATTCACAAACATAATAACGTATTCAAGTTTGAATTTGTTTGTTCCCTCAACAAAACACGATTTTGTCGTCGCATACTTCCGGCATACAACGCAGTACATCACCAACTCCGCTTTGCTGTATTCGAGCCATTGACTGTGTTCGAGATGAGCCAGTTCTGCGCAGGTTAGACCAGCGGTGATCGGCGAGCAGTGCATGCCGGTTAGATTTGTGTCCGAATTGACGCCGACTTGCTCTGACGTCATGCATACGTAGGCAACGATATCCTCGTGAGATCAAGGCGGCCGCAGATTTTGGAGCAAGGCGCTGCAGTTGCTCTCCCTCGGCTGCAAAACCTAGAGGATGACGGAAA